CAGTGCATTTTAATTTTATATTTTTTTGTTTATTGCAAAGTGAACTGTGCGGAACTCGGTGACCAGTGAGTGCGTGTTGTGTATTTTCGAGTGCTTAATAGACATTTAGTAGTGCGCGATTTTAAAATTTCGAGTTACTAGTGAGTGCCAATGGGGGTAATGGAGAAGACAATCGTGCTACAAGGGTCGGGATTAAAGGGTAAGTCAACAATAGCTTTTAATTTTTTAGAAAAATTTCACTTATTAAATTGTATTTAATATTTTTAACTAACTTAACCACACATTAAACTAATTTTGTGTTTCTTTATTTTCAGTAAGTCCGTGTAAGAAGCAGAGGCTAATTGCTACAAAGGGTAGCCGAAGAAGATGCCATAAAGGTTAGTGCATTTATTTTTGTATTTTTTTGTTTATTGCAAAGTGAAGTGTGAAAATTTGTGTTTTTTTGACTGCAACAGTAATTATTTATTGAATTATGAATATGAATTAATTGTATTTTAGATAAAATGTGTTATTTCTCAAATCCTTTTTCATAATTTGTAGAAAACAATACTGTTATGTACCAAACAATTTAAAAGTAAATCTTGAAATTTAAAATTATATTCAAATTTATTTATTGCGATTCAAAGGCAAACTTTTTAAAAACTTGTAATATTGTTAGAAAATGTCTCAATATCAACAAAATTTATTTTAATAAAATCAATAAAAATAACTTAATTAATAATAATTCATTAAGTTGCGAGGCGGAAGATCTGCAGTGACGCTAGATTGGATTTTTTTTACATTAATCTCATTTCAAACAATTTATCAGCAATAATACCCGTAATAGTGAATCTTGCCTGACTGCATATCTAAACCGCCGGGTCAGTGGAGTGTAAAAGTTGTGGAAATTATTTGTCAGAAAATGAAAATAATTATCTGGCAAATGGTTTCTTCTTCTTTTGCCGGGTCAAATAATAATAATAAAATAAGTGAAGTGAGGTGTGTCAATTTGTAATTTTTACAATAAAAAGTATTTACAAAAAAAAGTCTAAAAGAAATCGTGCGCGAATGTGAATTGGTAGCACTGCATTCCCAAAAATTACAACCGCCAATCTTAAACTCAGCGAAGCAGGACAATTTCAAATTCTAAGTTGTATTAATGCAATAATTGGTTCATTAGTAACCTTTAATCGATATTTTAATCGATACTTTGTTTTTTAATTAGCGTTGGTGACGATTATATTACCAAAATTCAAAAACACCAACCTGACACAACAAAGACTATTTGATAAAAACAAATAAATAAACCAAATAGTTGGTTAACAACACTCCTACCACTGATTTGCATTTTTCTACACTGACGACTGACGTTTGTTTCCTTTATTATTTTAAATGCTACCCACAAAGTATCCTTTAAAAATTAAGCATTTAAAGGTGAAAAATAAAGGGAGTATTTAAAATTTTAACGGGAAAGGTATGTACATACAGAATAGCATCCAAATATTAAATGTGATTTAAAATTTTAAACACCCTTTAAAATTGGTTGTATATTTACAGAATAGACCCTATTAAAATTTATTTTTTTAATGTTTTACTGTTAAATTATTCATTATTGAGTTAGAGAAAAAAAAACTGCATTATCACTTGTATGATTTATTTACACACAATAAAAAAGAATTTGTTAAAAACAATTATAAATTACTAAACTAATATTCACATTAAAAATGTTTTTACAAAATCACATCCACATAGTCCTATTTAAAAGAAACATTTTATTTTGATATTGGATATGTCGTTACATAAAATAATTAAAAATGAATCCTCATCTCACATATTTGAACGAATTTCCTGATCACATTTACACAAAGAATGATCAAAAATATGAATTATACACTAATTCTTTGGAATGAATAAGTTGACTCAAGGAATGGAAACACCCGGTTTTCACTCACTTCCCATCCATCCAAATTTCCAACTGCAAAATTTTAACAATACTAGAAAGGGGGTAAGAACATTTATGCCAAAATCATTTAGGTCCACCAAGGTCACTGTAAACGAGGCCAGTATTGAGACGTCATATCAGCTTGACCCGGAACCGCAATCGGGACTGAAACTCCAGGTGATATCAATCCTGGAAGAAAAAAAATTTGTCGATTTTGGTGCAAAACCTCAACACGGGTTAGGTCACCTGTCGACGATGTCCCGTTTGTGTTATATTGGTGTCCGTTCATCTGATAGGGCTGAGTGGGGCTACAAGGCGACGGTCTTGACCCATATCCGATCCCCAAGTCATAACTAGGTGGACGTCCCATGCAATAACCGCTCATTGCTCCGCCCATACTCGGACTTTCCCTTTGTTGCAAACACGCACCCGGAGAGGGGCCCATGCTCGAAGTCAACCCTCCGTGATTAAATGTCGACATCGACGACATCGAACTGAAACAACCCAATTACCAAGTCACGGTCCAAATTTGAGAAATTAAAAAGTTCAATCAACGGGGATGGATGTCTCAACATCGTATATTAAAGAATGTTTATGAAACGAGCAGCGACAGGGCCGTACCCAAGGGGGGGGGGGGCTATTAGGGGGTTTGAACCCCTTCCCCCCAACCCCCGAAATGCTGAGCACTTTGTTATATAGTGTTAAAAGTGTTAATATTTAGTTTTTTTGTTATTTTAGTGAATTAATTTTTCATGTGTTAATTATACAGCGTTTCATTTTTATTGTTAGGTACAAATTTAAATAGTTGATACAATATTTAATTTTAAAACAAAAGTGTTTCGAAAAATGTTATGAAAGGGAGCTACACCCTTTACAAAAGGTACGTTTTTTAAAGGGTTTTTCCTAATATTTCAGAATAGAGAAAATTACAAAATTTGGTACCTTTATATGTACAGGTTGCTGCATTTTGGATGTCCGAATAGGGAATCTCCGAAACTAAGAGGTTTAGCCAAAAACGAGTAATACATTCTGGGGCTCCTTTTTTGAGAAAATAATATTGGTTAAAACCGCATCCCGCTATCGTCTTTTGTTTTCGATTTATAGACAAAAATTGACATTTTAGCGAAATCTAAAAAAAATCTTATCTTCGTTATTATAGAAGACACAGATTTGAAATAAAGACATTATACAGGCACATTTTTACGTAAAATTTAATAATGTAGTTAACAATTTTTTTCAGTTGTTTGTTTAGCCGTAATAAAATAAACTTGTATTTTTTTAAATGGAAATCATAGATGGCTATGTCATTTTTAAAAAGCTTGTTTTAATCTTATCGAAAAAATATATATTTGTAGCAAATTATTATAATACATTTTTAGCAAAAAATTATATTTGATTTTTGTTTGCAGTTGGCTATGAAAAAATGTTACATCTTCAACTAAAAGGATTTAAACTATATTATATTCAACCAGTGTCACTAATGAAAGAGTTTTCTAAGTACTAAGTAATGAAAAAAATGCAAAATAAATTGTAAATCAACTTATTGGCGACTAATAACATTTCTTTGTTTTTAAACAAGCTAATATTACCTTGCGATTTCTAGAGTGATACATAGTGTTGTAAAAAAAGCCGTTTCAATTCTTCAATAAAAAATATTTTCTATGACACAAAAATGACGATATGGCTATTCAAATACCCAAATTCCGTCTATGTGGAACGTTATCCTACCTCCATTAGATCATCAAAAAAATGTTTTTTTCTAATTGTGTTGACTGTTGACACATTTGTTTTTCCTATTTTTGGATTCTTTAAAAATATGTAATAATTTTGTTCTGAGGCGCTCTGATATTTGTTCAATGCTTCTATCGTATCGTATTTTTTAAATATTTATAATATTATCTATTTTTTCATTTATTTTGCAGCTCACAAAACTCTTATTGATTATTATTTACACATTTGGAGTGAAATAGTTTTTCCATGGCCAACTATTATCAAACAAAATATGTATTTCACTTTTTAAGTATAGTTATAAAAAAATATTCTGTTACAAATATATATTTTTTAGATCAGAAAAAAATAAGCTTTTCAAAATTGCCATAGCCGCCATTTAAAAAAATACAAGTTTATCTTATTACGGCTAAACCAATAACTGAAAAAAATTGTTAACTACATTATTAAATTCCTCGTAAAAAAGTGCCTGTATAATGTCTTTATTTCAAATCCGTATCTTCTATAATAACGAAGATATGATTTTTTTAGATTTCGCTAAAATGTCAATTTTTGTCTCTAAATCGAAAACAAAAGACGATAGCGGTATGCGGTTTTAACCAATATTATTTTCTCAAAAAATGAGCCCCAGAATGTATCACTCGTTTTTGGCTAAACATCTTAGTTTCGGAGATTCCCTATTCGGACATCCAAAATGCAGCACCCTGTACACCCAAAAAAATACCAAATAACACAATTTTTAATCAGGGGCGTCCTAAATGGTAAAACAAATTTAATTTTTATGCTGTTTATGGTCTGTAACATAGATTTTTAAACCGATTTTTACTAAAAATCCGTAAATTGTATCGGAAAAACACAAAAGACCTTTTTTTATGAAAAAATATGAAATTTTGTTGCTGAATGTGGCAAGAAACCACAGCCAAAATAGTTAGAGTAAATTTGTACCCTAATTCCATCTAGTTTAGTAAGCCCCTAATTAAAAATTTCAACATTTCATTTTTGTACTTGTTTAGGTGTAAGTATAAAAGTTATCATCTGTACCAAATTTTGAATTTTTTTTCTAAAATAATTTCGGAAATATGGAAAAAAAACCTATTAAAAGACGCACCCCTTGCGTAGCATTTTTCGATATACATATGTTCATAGAAAATTTTTGTTTTAAAAATGAATATTCTATCTCCTGTTTAAATTTGTAACAATAAAAAGTATTAAAAAATTATTTTATTTTTTGTTACTTTTGTGAGTTAATTTGTATTTTTTTGATGTAATGGATCTCTTATTTCAATTTAAAATAAAAACGTGTACTTAGAGATTTTTGCTTTTTAATTCGCCTTCTTTCATTTTATTTTCATGGACCAACAAGAAACCCCCTCCTGAAATAAAATCCTAGTTACGGCCCTGAGCAACAAAGTGCGAGTTTTAAAAAGAACCAGTTCCTACAAATTACCTATGAAACAAGTTTTTTTTATGCCATTTTTTCTATTTTGCGCGTTTTACTTATTTTTTTAAGATAAAAGTCGGTTTTTCAAAATTTAGGAACATTTGCTCTAATAAGGTGGTGGTTGGTAATAAATGTCACAAAGTTTGAAAAATTCGATTTTTGAAGTGTCAAATCTCGAGTATATTTCAAAATTTTGTTGAATTAACAAAGAATATTGCAAATATTTCATACACACCACTTGAAATAAGAAAAATCACCATTACCAACGTCTAGAAAGTAAATTGTACTAATCTATTTCAGCACCCGAATTGGTGTTAAAATGGCTTATTAAAGCATCGGTTTTGGAATCGAAATAAGCTTTCTTTCGCAAAATAGAAAAACATTTTTATGAGAAAACGTCAAAGCAGGACATAATTACCTAGTTTTTATAGAACATTTGTTCAAAGTGCGAATTACACACAAAATGCAAAATTATATATTTTTAATTGTTGTTTACGTTTGTATTTATTTAATTAAAGTAAAATTATCTCTTTACGTGTTTTTTAATGTTACTTTTATTTGTCTAGTAATTTTTTAAAAAACATTAAAGAACGAAGCCTACGAACTACGAAGTATACATATAATTTATAAGATTTATTGATACTTTTCGAAGAAGTTTTTACTCTTAAAAGCTTTGCAAAATGCTAAGAGAAAATACTGATAATAGTCAGTAATTTTCTCTTTTAATTTTAATAATTATGATTAAAACATAGATCACATTTTCTCTTCCTGTAGGCAATATTTTTTGAAATGTATTTTTTTCTAAAAAATGAGAAACCACAACGTACCTGTATGTATCCGCAATGGACATTGGCGGTGGTAACGGCGAGTACATCGAGGTGTTATTAAATCCCTGAAGCCTCGGGGGCGACGCCGCCGGTCCTGGATGTTCGGCCGGTGCCGGCGCCCCCCGTCGTTGATTCCTCAACTTCTCCTCTCTTCGCCACTTAGCCCTCCGATTCGAAAACCACACTTGAATTCTTGCTTCCGGAAGGCCGATTTTTGCTGCTAACCTTTCACGCGCGAAGACATCTGGATAATGCGTTCTTTCGAATTCTGCAATTTGCGTTTGGTATTTCTGAAACGAGTCAAAGTAAAACTATTCACCTTTCTCGAGACTGTCTATTTGGTCATTTGTGAAAGATGTCCGATTTCTTTGCAACTTCCTCTTTAGCCTAAGTCTTGCTTGGTCATCGTCGGGACCTATACTTGAGCCGGCGTTGGAGTTATCACCGGAGTTTGTCTCGTCGGAGTTAATTCCGTCTAGGTCCGTCACTGGAAAAAATCATATTTAGATCGTGTAATTTATTGGATTCCGGATTCCAGTCGCGTTCAAGAATAAATATTTAGGGTCTCGAGAGACAGTGTTAATGTCGACACTTTATTCCCTGTTGATTTAGTGAGATAAAGCCGAACCAAATATGATTTAAGTAATTATCCTGTGAGATCGTGGCGGTAAACACATCCACGTCTTGTTTGTGGGGATTAAACGAACAAGAGTAGGGGAGGCGAGTCGGGGGAGCCCTTAGGGGTCGGCGGTGGTTCCTCTCGCTTAGTTTGGGTGGGCGTCCCGTAAGATAAGACATCCCGATCTGCGTTACGGTGGAAGCAGCCATCCAGAAACTGGCGATAAGGACCAAAGGAAAGAGTCACGAGCGCAGGGGCGGCGGTAGGCATTCCGTGTAGGCTGCCAGAACTCTCGACATACCCAAGGGTTTCATAAATTTTCATGTTTATTTAATTTGCAAGCGAATAAATACACGCTAATTTATTATTGATAAAACATTTCGGGAGTAAAGTTGGTTGCATAAACACTTGTGCATTTTTTTAACATCACGAGAAAACCCCCATTTAAGCCGATTCTGCGACTTCTCAAATACAATTGATGGCATATATTATCTGAACGAAATTTGATTCAAAAGCCAAGTTTGTACGGTGTCATAAGTAAAATCGTTGCAATTTATTTAAAAAAAATCTTACAAAAGTGTGTCCAACGTAGATTCTGAACAGTGCAATAAATAATAGCGCTAGCTGGTTAATAGTATGTACATTATGTAACTAGTGTTATAAAAGTCACTGTAAATATGAGTTTTATTAGGCACGACCATTATAGGTAAAGTCCATTAAATGTTAAAATTTGAAAAATTGTTTATAGATAATTGTGCATCCCTCAAATTATTTTCAACTATACAGCGTCTCCCAAAAATAAGTTACAATACGAACTTATGTTTTTTTTTAATGAAATACCACATATTTCTTGGCATAATTGAATGTAGTAGATCTAGCAATTTTTTAAACTTAACTCTTGTTAGTCGATTTTGCTTGGTTTTAGAAATAAAACGGTTTTTTTGACGAAAACATGCACTATTTTAAATTTCATTACACATAAACTAAGACAGCTAGAAAAAACATTACAACAGCAAAGAAAAAGTACAAACTATACGACTATAACAATTTATACAGAGTCGCTAAAACATACAGTTAAATATTATAAAAACTATTAATCAAAACTTACTGAAGTTTGGTATATATGCTTAAAAGTTTTTAAATTCCATTGCCTCAGATGTTTATCAAACTTCTATCTCCATTTGGTCTAGGAACACAAGGCTAACTTGATTTTTTTAAATGTCAAAAAGGGTCAAATTTAATATTTTTAAGAAGAGCATATTTTTCTGAATTCTGTGATGTAACACATGCATATCTTTTAAAAAAAATATCAAACTAATTGAATTTTGAAAAATGTAAAAATTTTTAGCCTTGGAAATGTTGTCTTTATCTATCTTTAGCTAAACTTTGACCAAAAAATAGGTAAACTGTTTCCCATATTTCACCGTGCTCTGCTAAACGGTTCTAAAAATATTTAGCTGTATCCATACTTTTTAGCGACCTTGTATACAAAGATCAAGAAGTTTGTTAAAAGTTAAATAACTTAAAAATTTAAATGGAACACCCAATTTTTTGTTTCTACAACTAAGAGATTTAGAGATTATTAAGTGATCTTTCCAAAATCATTTACTTTCGTAGTTTCCACAATTAATAACTAAAAAGATATTTAACTACAAACTTAAAAAAAAAAATCATTATTTATCATTATTATCCAAAAACTGCATAAATGCACTATAGAGATGGAAGAAATATCACTCAATAATCACTTTTATGTTACGCTGAATCCATTATTCTTTATTTACACAATAAAACGAATTTCAATATTTATGACGGCTTTTGCGAATCCCAAATAAGCGATTACTGTGGTTGTCTTGGTATCAACAATGCACATTTTAATGATAGATATTGTTGCTACAATTAACATTAAATTTTTTTTTTCTATAGCAGATGTTAAACTATTTCTTTATCAACTCTTTTGAGTAGATAAAATAGCACTTTAACCGCAAAGGTAGATAAAGTAACACTTTAATAGCAAGGGTAGATAAAATGTTTTATGTAGGTACTTATTTTATTCATTTAAATTTACAAATTTTATTATCCACGAAGTGGAATAAAGCGTCCGATTTACACTCAAACGAGTTGAATACAACATTTTATTCTTCGAATTGTACTCAACAAGGCTTAAACTTGCTTTAAATCTGTTAAAAAGTAATCTGACGTTTCGTATTGAGAAATAATGCCAAAAAAATTAAAAATTTTATTTTTTCTCTTAAATTTATAGAAAAAAATATTGTATTATACACGACGATAATAGTTATTTATTCGACGAGTTTGAGTGTAAATCGGACGCTTTATTTGACCGAGTGGATTTTTAAACCACGAGTGTAACGAGTGGTTTACCATCCACGAGGTGGAATGAAGCGTCCGATTTACACTCAAACGAGTTGAATACTCGTGAAAAAAGTGTACACGTGACTTCGTTACTCGTGAACTTAACCTTTTCACTCGTAGATAAACAGTCTCTTCATCCTCTTGTATAATAAATAACTATTAATTTATTAATAATTCTAGACATCGAAAGTTTATTTTTTAGATAGACAATTTATTCGTCTGAGATGCAGAAATAAAAAATAGAGGTGTTTTATTTAATTTTTTTATATTATTTAATTTTTAACAAACTTTGACATTTTTTTTACTTTTCGACCACAATATATTTAAAAAATGTTATAGTCTTATAGTTCGTACTTTTCGCTTTACAGTTGTAATTTTTTTGCCAGCTCTCTTAACTTTTTGTGTAATGAATTTTTAAAAATTGGATGTTTTCGCCAAGAAAACCAACTTAATAAAACTAAGCAAAATCGACTAATAGAAGTTTAGCTTAAAAACATTGAAATTAAAAGCTACACTCAAAAATGTCAAGAAACATATGGTGTATCATTAAAAAACACATAAGTTTGTATTGTAACTTATTTTTGGAACTCCAATATAGGATCAAAAATATTTTCCTGAAATCCGCCCTAAACTTATAAATAAAGTCTACAAAATATAAAAATTCCCACTTAAATAATAACTGAGCTACAGAAGACTGAGATGAAGAATCTTGTATAATTAGGTAATTATGTAGAGATACAGGGTGCTTCAAATATGTTTGGACAATCGCTAATTCAACATTATTTGAACAACATTCAATATTAGCTGCAAAATTGGGAGTGTATTTAATGTAAATGAAGCCCGCATTGAATGTCCGTTGGCAATTCCCTAAAAATGTCAAAGTTTTTGTTGGCACACCCTTTTATGTGCTCCATCACCTTTGATTAAATGATCTATATGTAGTCTCGTCCGCCGGCAGCGTAAACATGAATGGTGTGTAAAAAGAAGTTAAAAAGTCGTGAAATGAAAGGCGGAATGGAATAGCGTTCGCCATTTGTGTAATTCGACACCGTTAATGTTGACGTATCAATATATCAACGCGCTCTCGAACCCAAAAGAGTGGCTGAAGGGGCGGTCCCAAGCACCCTTTTTCTAAAATGTATCGTATAATTCCTAACATAAAGAGCCATAAGTATCGGTTATGAAATATGGCAGCCCTCATAATAATAGATTATATTTCTGTGCACCAAATTAGTATTGTCGGTGACAACTGGCCGTGAATAGTCCTCTAATAAAGCGGCACTAAACGACGCCACTGGGGCCATACTTGATACACAATTACAAACAGGAGCAATTGAAACGATTGTGCGGCACACGGTTTGACTTGTGCCACTTTGTACTAATTGTGTATTGTTTTTCGAGCGATTGTAACGATTCCGATATTATAATAACAACTTTACGAAAGATGAAAGGAAGGTTCCGCTACTAATCCTGTGCTTTTCTATTGGGAAAAAAACATGTAAACATACCCAAATTTCACAGAAAAATCGTTAATAATACCATAACAAGAGAAATGTTCCGAATTGTACTAGTTCAGTAGTGAACACATGTCCCTTAAGTTGGTAGAAAAACTGTTTTAGGTTTGCGCACTGAAGCGAAAGCGGCTAGATTGTGAATATAATTGAAAAAGGTGCCCGTTTAATAGGGGATTTTTCAAATAAATTATTGTGCATTGACGCGTACATTAAAAAATGTACTTATGGCATGGCAGCTTTTATGGCAGAATTAATGTGGGATGCGTTTCTATTATAACATTTGCAAAATTTTTGGCGGCTTTAGTAACACAAAGAACCCAATTTAAATATCGACACGAGTGCGATGGTCAAGTTTATCAAATTAATAAAATGTTTAAAGCGAGAACTTAATATTCATTAAGTCTACGTTATTATCATAAATTATATATTCAGCATTTAATGCGGGTTTAATTAACGATATAATTGTATAAATTAAGGTGCGAGAAGACAATTTTTCCACAAGATGTTTTGCTACAATTTTTTTATTTGTAACCTTTTAAGTTAGTTACTACACTACAATTTTCAGATGCAACCCAAAATACATTTTCACAAATAACCTGGCTTTTGTTGCGTTTGCAAATTTTAAATTATTAATTTTAAATCAAAGTGATTGTTGATATGTCATGTATTAAATTGACAGTGCCATCAAATCTTTTATTTCCTCTTGAATTTGAAATGTATTCAAAAGACAAAAAACTAACATGATCTTGGTATATGGTGAATACCACAAAAATATTACCGTAGGACGCCAAGTTATAAAAACTGTCAAAACCATTGCAAATATCTATGTTTATAACTTTGCAAAATTTCAAACAGTAAATCAAGTAACACCTAGTGGCATCTGAGAATGTATTTTGGGTTGCGTCTAAAAATCGGTCAGGGTCTTTATTATACCAGTTGAATAAAAAGTATGGAACCAAACGTTTATTGCTTAAACTATTTATTTTTTGAAAAAACTAATTGATGAGTGATAAAGTACTATAAAAATGTGATGATTTAACAAGAATAAAAATTTACGAAATTTTCTTTTGTTTTTGAGTTCTACAATAAAAATTTAATTTTTTTTAAATGGCAACCCACTATAAAATCATTTTTCTCATAAAGCTATACTCTAAGAATTTCAACTATCTGCTTCATATTTACTTTTTTCAAAAATTTTTATTACATAAATTGCAATTTTGACAAAAAACATCGCATAACTCAAAAACAAAACAAAATTTCGTTCTGAAAATACGATCACATTTTTTATATTATTTTATATTAATTATTATTTTCTGGAGGCAAATGATTAAGAATAAGACCGCTTGGTTCCATACTTTATATTCACCCTGTATGTGACTCAGACTGTATTGTTTTGGTTTATTGAAAACAAAGTAAAAAGTCCCAGCTGAAGTGTCCTGTATTTGACAAATGATTTATTTTTTTATACAGGGTGTTTCACATAATTTTACGAGGCCTGCGCCTGTAAGATGCAATCAATACTACAAATTTTGAAAAATTGGATAATCTTCTCTAGTTTGTTCACCTTTTCAAAAATTACAACATTTTTAGTTAGTGATTAAGATAGATAAACTAGAATCATATTCATGCCGTCTCTTGATAGAACAAATGATAATTGTCTCTGAAAAACTGCAGTTTATGACTATTAATGAAACAGTGATTAGTTTGACAACTACTATCATGGGTTTCCAAAAATTAAATAATTAAATGTGTATTTTTTCTATCTAGTGTTTTGTGAATTTTGTATATTTGGGTGCAAGCCTCGTAAAGTTATGTGAAATACCTTGTATTTCAATTTTATATAATGCAATAATTGTAAAGTGTAAAACTATGTTGTTAGATAGAGATATAGAAATAAAGTAAAAAGTCCCAGTTGAGGTGTCCTGTATTTGACAAATGATTTATTTTTTTTATATTTTTTGATTCTAAAAAACGTAATACCGTAAATAACGTAATAATTGTAAAGTGTGAAAACTGTTGTTAGATAGAGATAAGTCTTTAATGGTAGGAAGCGTCGTCACATATCCACGTGAAGAAGTCCCCGCTAATAATAATAAGTTGTCAGGTCTGAGGAGGGAGTCGGGTGAGAGAGCAGCAGGGGTACGGCAACGGCAACGGCACACTACCAAAGCAAATTACTCACACTCAAATGATTCCATTTCAATATCGGGACAAAAGAAGGGCTCCCGCTACACAGCCACCGTCAGAGTAACATGCATGTATCTGATACCCATAGATAACCGGAGACAGACATCAGACAGAGACAACGTTCGCTTCGCCGCCGGAACTCCAACAAAACAATCATCTCTTTATCGCTACAAATATTTACAGGAGAAATCGGAGAAAACCAACACACACAACAAAACGCTATTTGGCAAAATAGAGCTCTTAAAAGCTCGAAAGAATTAAGCTCGAAATTTATGGTGATCCGCGCTAATATTCTCTTGGGAGACGGCGAGGGATTTTATTTATTACGAAGAGCAGAGGGATTGTTTAAACACAAATTCTGTGCAAAATGTTTTATAATTTTCTGATATTGATACTGAAAAGTCTCAAGCGGTGTCTTTATTCCCAATGCGGCCCTGTATTTTGTTCCGGAGGGTGAGTGTGTAACAAGCCTTGACCTAGAACCGTACTCCTGTTTATTTGTGGCGGTTTCCACCTAAGGACGTCCGTCCCCATCACGTACTCCAAACCTCCACGCAATTATACGTGACATCCTTATTATTCGTGACATGAACAAAACGAGGTGCATTTTGCTCGTTAAATGCCAATTTACTCCATAAACTCTCACTTTTTTTTTACTGAAATTGTAACAAGGTAAAACCGTTTCTTCGAAAAATCGGCAATCTTTTTGTGTTAAACGATGCAAATTCGATAAGCTTACCGAGCTTGAGTTGAGCTTTTGTTACGCTACTGAAAGCCGGATTTAACAATGAAAAGGGTTAACGACAGGGCATTATACCCTACTTAAGTAGGTAAAAATATATGAGCTCGGACTTAACAATTAACCAATATTTGCGGTAGGTGGATGAAACAGGAAGCCGACTTGGGCAGATCGAGTGGAAGAAATGCGATACAGGAGGCTTTTTGTGCGGCTTGAGGTTAAAAGTTTTTTAATAAACAGGAAATTGGTATTATTTGAGACTGAAAAGATACACGAAGATGTATCAATGGTGGGTAACTATAAACCCAGAGATATAGGTACTGAAAGAGGTTTAAAACTCAGATCTCAATTACGTATAATAATTTTTGTATGCCCTTAGTTATAAAAATTATTGGAAACTTCAAATATTCGCGAAATTTGCACAGCAAGCACTTATTTTTCTTTGTAAAAATTTTGGGTTGAAAAATCATATTTTAGGGTTAAAAACTGTCTGGTTGTTTGAAAAAAAAAACAATAAATTTTATTGATTTTTAATTTTATAAAATTGTTTAGGAAAATAAATAGACTAGTACTTGTTTTAATTAATTAAGAAAATAAAATATTTACATACCTATAAGGATCTGCACCATGACACGTCACATATTACAGGTCAGTGTCAGAAGCCTCTCAGAATACTTAATTGAACCATCAATAATTAAATTGGGAGTACATTCACACAAACTCACTTTAAAGTTAGTAGTATCCAAGTCACGTCTTTAAGGCCACTATTTTTCGATATAAATACGTTCAAATCGTCAAAATCAGCGCTAGTTTACTTTGCAATTCACTCTAGTAACGACTAAAAGTTCCGAAAATGAAGGTAAGCCCCAAAACAACTTTAAATTTATCTCATTAACCCATCAACCATCCATTAGCCGAAAGAAAACATCGCTCTAGATGTAGACAAATGGGACATTTACACAGTTATCGACGTATGTCCCATGCCTTTTGCAACCCCCTTGTGCTAATACCACCCTTTTACAGTTCACAGTAGCCTTCACCCTGGTCATTGTCTCGATGGTCTCTGCTGATATTCCGCGACAAAAAATCGAAATTGTCCGAAAACCTGCACCATACGTGGCCAGTGGTTGGGCTCCCACAGGACAACAATTAAAACTCCCTGTGAAAGCAGTGCCAACTCCTGCACCGTCCTACGGGCCACCAGCAGAACCCACCACGACTGAGGAACCCACAACTACTGAATCAAACACTGAGCGTTTGTTGTCCCAAAAAGCCGAGAAAGTTCAAGCCGAACCTGAGAAAGAAAAATCGGAAAAGTTGGAAGAACCTCAAGGAGGGCAGTATTATGTTGTTTTACCACAAGGCCAAAGTGTGGTGTATACGGTGCCTCAAAGTGCGGCACTTTTGGCAGTTCCTAAAGGGGGTATGATGGCCTCGGCGAGGATCCAGGCTGTGCCCTTGTCGTCGGTTGTTGCTACGTCGGTTTACACACCGTTCAGTGCGTCCTATATTCAGGTTTTCCAGTAAATGTTAAATTATTTCTGTGAGACTGTCTTTCAAATAAAATTTTATGACGAATTTATGACTTTAAATTTAACATTTTTTTTATTTTAACAAATATAAAATAGTCGAACAACATAAATTTATTGAAACTTTATAAGGTTAAAAAAATAAACACTACATTTTTGTAAAAATAACAAAGACAAGTAAATATCTTAATAAAAGAAACCTTTCTATTTTATGAATTAAAATAACTACGGCATTAGGTAGAACAGGCCAGGTGACTTTAATAGTTGTGCAGATTGATGCAACATTTTTACTTCTTTATTTTTTTTATAATTCGTGAACAAAAGTGAGTGAAAAAACAAAGTGTCTTATACAGATCATTCTTAATTCAACTAAATTATTTTGAAAATGACTTCACTGAACGAGAAATTGGCGTCAACTTTTAAATTTAAAGTAATAGAACCACTGATTTTTATTGTAGTTTTGAATTTTTATTGCATTTTCTGAATCTGAGTAAAACATATATCCATATTGTTGGATTTATCTGTTCTAGTTAGTTTTTGTCATATAAATATGTCGTTTTTTGTCGAAATTTAATTTGAGGGTCCATTAAAATCACAGATTTTGAACCCTTTGCGAAAATGACGACCAAAAAACAACTATAATAACTCGGTTTTTTTAAAATAAAATGACTTAATTTTTTCAATGACAATCAAAAGAACTAGACTTATCAACATTTCTTAAATTTCGAAGTTGAAGTCAATTTCTTGTTGTTGAGCCATTTTGGAAATAATAATTTACTTAAGACAAAAAAGTCAATTTTGGTCGCGAACTAAATTTCAAAGCTACATTGGAAGTTGAAAAGTTTCTAATGTAGGCCCTACAAGAATTAGCCTGTATACAAAATCACCATATTCAACAACACAATCAATTTAATCAACTGTGATAATACAACACAGACGTAAGAGTTCTTTGTGGGTTACCTTTTTATATAAAAAAATTGTTCAATGGAATTTGATTTTTTAAATTTTTTGGATTTTATTTTCATTGTGCTGATTTCATTTCATTCATTGTTTGTCACATTTTGTATTTATTGTTTTTCGTTTATCTCTGCAAATATAAAGAACATTTCACATCCCATGACATTATTAGGGCCAAATAATAATACGTATGTAATTATGGATATCTAATTATCTATCTATACACTTCAATTTCTTACAATAAATGGCATTCTTTACAAATGTCATAAACTTATATCCCGGATTTTTTTAACAACATAAATACATAATTATTTTTTAGTCAATCGTATTTTTTTATTGTTGTTGTAACTTTTAATCCATGCCATCAGTTAATTCGTTATTTTTTATAACGTTTTTGTTTTTATTTATTAATTAATTTTAGATTGTAAAAACTTCATAAAAATTAATACCTAAAGTTAAATAAAGAAAATAAAGTATTAATAAGGTACCTAAAGCGAATAAGGCCCACTTAATTTTTACGATTTTTTATATATTTTTTGAAATATGCAAAGGTTTGGATTTATTATCGAAATTGTAATTTGGATTTTTGTTTAACAATGTGTACCACAAAAATGCCTGTTTTGTTAATTTTTCTACATGTTTTTAATATAAATATAAAATATCACAAATGGCCTTTTTTGGAACCTCCTAGCCCCAAATAAGGCCCACCATCGGCATTAGATAAGGCCCATATTTAAAATTTGAGATAGGATTTTTCATTAATCGTGTTAACAGTAAGTTAAGGAAAAAATCTTTAATAAACAAACAAAAACCAACAGAAAAAATACAAAAAAAGTAAAGAAACTTCAAAACATGTATTATTGATATGTAACTAGAAATATTTAATTTTAACATCCAACACAATGACGCATCAGTTTATAACATATTTCACCATTTACAGTCAACTAAAAGACATATCTAGGAGTAACTTGTATGATTGATGATAGATGGCTGGCTGGAGGTCCAACGTAGGCTAGATGGTTTTAATTTTCTTCACAATTTAGACGAAAAATAACAGTTGCCCTTTTTAAGCACCGGGTCTTATATGCTTTAGGTACCTTATACATAAAGTAAAAATATAATTTTGGACGTAATAATGTTTAATTTTAGACCTAAGCAGTAAGCAAATTTTTGGAAAACAAATCTCGGCAAATTATTTTTTTTAAAGAATGCGTCATTCTATCCAGTTTCTTATTTTTTAAAAATTTATTTCGTAATAGATCAGTTTGCATCTCAATCACCTCACTAACCCCCACTAAACAGTTGATTCGTCAAATTACCCTCTGTTCGGGTAAGAATCCGGTGTATAAGAATTGACTATGACGTCACGGTTGAATGTCTCTAGGGTATTGATTCAGCAATCCTCCCTGTCCCGTCTCCTAATGTCGTTTGTTTGTTGACACTTTGATTCAAAGGCGGTAGAGCTTCTCACTAGGGCGTCACTTCCGGTTGATCTCGAGGCAATTTTTTCCGCCGCCGTCGCGACGCTCACCGCTTGTTAATTGGTGGATGTTTATCGGTTGCCGGTTTTGATAAATATCTTAACAGCGGTCGAGATCAACGGGTGAAATCCAACAAAAGAGGCTCCCACGAGATTTAGACAGCACGCCGGCTTTGTCAACCGTTCCAGCTCCACTCGAGAACACCGTTGAAATGCCGTTTGTTGAGGATATCGAAGATAACTCTCACCATTATGCGATTTTCGACACAATAACTCGACGGGAGATCAATTTGCGAGTGGCTTATTTGCCCGTATCTGTCCAAAGAATTGTTGATTTTTTGCGATGGAGGCTTGCCTTATTAAATTCGAATTTAATTGGCAATTTGTTTCGTTTAATTTAATTGAGAAGAAATTAGCTGAAATGAATTTTGTTTTAGCTTTAAAGGAATAGTAGCGGACGAGGCACTCGGGGAATGTATTTGCGTGCTGTTGAGGGAACTGATTATTCTCCATTCTGCACAATCTACAACGGATTCAGGACACCGCAAAATTCCACAAATTTAATATCTGCACTTTGGTAGACTCTGGCCGACGTGTTCCGTCTCGAAATAGCACACCCGGATTTTATAGGGGAGAGGCGGGCAAAATGGGGTACTTAATGTTTGAAGTCGAATTTTAAAAAAACTTAAAACTATGAGAGTCTGTAAATGAGGCAATATTATTGTTACAGTATTAATTATTTATTACTAACATTTTAACTTATAAAAAACAAAACATTTATTTTATATTGAATAAAAAAAATAGTAATGCAATTTGCCCCATTATGCCCGTCGCATAGGGCAAAATGGGGTAATATGTCTAAACTGAAAAAAGCTCATTGACAGTTTCTTCTAACAGTTTAAAGAACTGTTGTACAGCCACCTTGTTAAAGCCCATTGCACGGGCACCTGACGTAGCCTCGGGCTTTCTGATGGTCAAGTCTTTATGTCTATTAAAAAAAACCCGTATCCATCCCGTTCCAGCCATTTTAAGATTTTTGTTAAAGGGGTATTCAATCCGATTTTGTTCAGCAAGTTGAAAGGCAAGTTGCCTGCATTCTGTAATAGTCAGTCCAAATAATCTAATAATCTCGCTTCCATATCTTTAAGATAATTAACAAGTTCTTGTTCTTGTTGGGTAGTAAAAACGGGCCTTTTACTGCCCAAAACTTTTGAAACGGAATAACCTGGAGTATCTCTTTCTTTTGTACTTAGACACCATCTATGTAGAGACAAAACCAAAAATATTTACTGGAAAGTTGCATAAAAATAGGGCAAAATGGGGTACCCCGTTTTACCGTACCTGCTGGTACCCCATTTTGCCCAAATGCGAAGACTTTTAGGTTATGACGTATTTATTTTATTAGAAGTAATTTTTTTTTAACACAATAACAAAGAAAATCTTTAGAAAACACGCACTTTTAGTTGGCATTAATATTTTTTAATAATAAATTGGTTTAGTCCTACTTACGATGAATTTATTCTCCGGCGATATTGAAACAGTGTTTACTAAAAAGGCACATGTGCTAACTACAACGATCGGCTAACAACTACAGATTTCTGCTTTATGACAAAGATCGTATGCCCGCGTGTGTAATATAATTTTGAAAACGTTGGGTAGATAAAGCTAGTGGTATAGAAAAAAAACATGGTACCCCGTTTTAGGCACCTACCCCGTTTTGCCCGCATATCCCCTACCGTCCTCTAATACCCTTTTTAAAAGAATTTTATATTCATATCTTATCAGCGCCGTCATTCCACTCGCAAATGAAATTGCGAATTTTTATCCCCATTTCTCCACCAACATCAGCCTCTGTTTCAAAAGCACTCACAAAACTTTTTTACAAAATAAAAATACAACTTTTCCTACCATTTCACACAAAGGTGTTCAATAGCTAAAATACAGAAAGTTACAACTTACAGTTTTTTCGATTAATACTCAAAAATCGGTTGCGGTTAAAATCACTACTTGCATTTAATATTGGGTAGTAATAAAGCGATCAGTAAATAATTCCATTTTGATCAGTATAAAATAATAAATGATCAATATTTAATTAATTTTTGCACAGTTAAAAATTAAAAATGATCAGCGTAATATAATATGTGGCAAAAAATTCCATTTGCACATCAGTAAAAATAATAAACTCTCAGTAACTTTAATCAAAATTAATAAAACAACATAAAATTTATGAATTTTCAGTCTTGTTTACATAACAATGTATGGCCCCTGCGCAAGAATGTGATTTATTGTTGGTCCTTATTTTTATATTACTGAATATTTATTTATTATTATTTGAAGGTGGTATACAGTTTAAAAAATGCCGCACTAAAACTATAGTACGTTGTCTAGATGCATTTGGTGAGTGAGGGAAAAATATTTAAAAAAATCTTGATGTTAAATTTGCACCTGGAACCTGGATGAAGGTTTATTTTATGGTAAATCTGACAACTGCATGCTCCTACCTTGAGAAAATCAAGAGAGTTGTCATGGAATAATTCAATTCTTGAATTCATTGTTACTTTTAAACGTTGCCGCATCAATTTTTGCATAATTACCGATATTTTAGAAGATTGAATGTTAAAGACCACAGACATTGCGTTAAAGATTATTAATCTACCTTCCATTCTGCATATTTTAATTGCATTTTGAGTGTTATTTAGTAATAATAAGTACAACGTTTGAAGATTCTTACACAAAACCCCCACTGTGCAGAAAAATAAAAACCAAGAATTTTTTAAATATTTTTCCCTCACTCAGCAAATGCTTTTAGACACCGTACCATAGTTTTAGTGCGGCATTTTGAAACACCGTGTATGTATTAGCAAGGGCCCCTGCGCAAGAATGATTTTAGCAAGGGCTGAAACTGTGCACAAATGGTAATCAGTCTAATCAGCGTACGCCACTCTTTGCACTGCTGTGCTCCTGATACCACAATTTTGTTTTTGAACGCTTAGCGACATTCTGATTTTGCTCGGAAACATTTTGTTTGTAAATGTGTAAATACCTATATTAAATTAATTAGTTTTGCTAGACATTCAATCCTTGTCTTTACTCTGCATTTATTATTTTTACTGTGCATTTATCATTTTTACTGTGCATTTATCAGTTTTACCATGCATTTATTATTTTTACTGATCAAAAATACTTGTCCTTTAAATAATATACTGTGCATTTAATTTGCTCCCTTTAATATTTTCAGAAAAAAAAGCTTTAATTACAAATTTAAAAAAAAATGTTGAAACGTGTTGTAAATACTACTGGCATGTTTTGTTTTTTTTTAGAAATTATTGATTGAAAAAACAATTGTTTAATTTAAAAATTTATTTCTTCTATTCATTAGAAATGAATATTGTGCTCTGAGCTGTGATTTGAATTGAGGTAAAATGGACTTTTTGAAGTTTTGGAAACAAGTATTCCATCAAAATGGAAGAAACCAAAATTGACTCTTTGTTGATTTAAAGTCTATTTTACAAGTCCTATCGCTAAAAAAACATTTCTGATTAAAAAAAAAAACTTAACCGTTTTTGTAGATTTTTGTAGAATTGTTTAGACAAATAAATTGATTGCTGACTGGTAAAAACTAATTTAATTCTGTAAGTAGAGTATTACAATTACAAGTTTTATTCTTTTACTTAGAATTTGTAGAAAGTTATGTAATTTGATTCATCAATAACAAACAGAGCAATAAATTGTTGGTATAAAAATCGTGTAACTACTTGATTTTAAGTTACAAAAATTTAAAATACATAATTGGATTTAAAATTCTCAAAGAATGAGCAACTTATTTACAGGAGCTTGTTGTATTCACATAAACTTGTCTAGTTTTTCTGACTAAATGTTTATTAAAGAAAGCAACAAAGAAACATCAACTAATAGTAACAAGAGAATTTTTATAGTGTAATTGCGTAGTTTTACAAGTTTCGATGAGTTAAACTTAAAAATAAGTATTAACTGATAATTGAGTACCTGATGCGAATATTACAAAGAAGATACATGTAAGTAAAGACAAATTACGTTTGCTTGTAATATCGAAAGCTTTGAGTAGACTTTAAACGCCTCGAGAAGCTTAACATTTCTCAAGCACCATGCACGAACTTGTGCAGGTAAGTTTGATGTGAGATGAATTCTGTATCGAAACTTGGCAGTTCCATATGTGGATGGTAAATTACAACTGTTTGCCGCAATTTGCGGTCGAGCTAGGAATCAAAGGCTCCACCAGCTTTGTGGGGTCCTGACTAATCTGCCTCCAGGGGCAGCGTTTGTTACTGTATCAGTTCAGTTGATGGTTAGCTGCAAGTGACACATTTGTTAAAAATGCAAACACGCCGCCCCCTTTTAGAAGTGGAAGTCGCGCCTCGGGACATACACTAATTGAAATTTTAACATTCAGCGTTTAACCAATTTGCTGCAATTGAATTTTCAACGCAACCACAAACGGCCGTTAATGAAATTATTACGCATTAATTAAAATTTGTTCAATTCGTTCGCCGGTTATGCTTTGTATACAATAACGCCGTAGTCATTGTTTAATTTCAGCGATCATTTTTTCACAACGTTTCATGTTTTAATTACGGTGTGTGTGACTTGCTGTAATTAAATGTGAGCTTTTTCATTTTTACGGCTCGACTAATCCGATGATTTTTTGTATTTTTTTCTTTACCAATTAGAGGGCTAAGTCGGTCCTACCTTTTTTGTTGATGTCATCGGCTAAAATGGTAGGCGGAGGACTTAACGGCTGAAGCGGAAAGGAAGTGTTGCCGGGAGAATACCATGGCGTCGGTCTCCAACTTCCTTGGTTTCCGTTCAGAAGACGGAGCTTATCGTATACACTGTCATTTCCGGACGAAACCGGAGGATTCTGGGACGATTGTTCCTTTTGTGCCGCCAAATTTCGCAAAACCCTGTTTATCGACGAGACCTGCGACACAAAAAATTATCAATTATTAAACCATCAGTCCCCTAGAAATTTCTCATAAAATACACAATTGCTTCCATCTGCACAACAAATTGGAAGCCTTGTTAAGAACAGTTGTAGTTTAGATTCGATGCAGAATTTCTCTTATTATTTTAGTCAATTGTGAACCAAGACTTCTATTGATTCACGATGTGCTTACTATTATAGAAAGAAACAAAGTGAAGCACTTAGTTCTTACAGAAAAGTTTATGAGAAGCAAAAAGAAAACTACTTCATTGTTAATATTTCTAATGTTGTTTTATTTAGTAGTCAAGACAAAACTTTTTAAATAGAGTTAGAGTACGACTGGAAATACACATACATATATTGTTTTTTAATTTCTAATTTTTATTTTGTTTTTTACTTTTTTACTTTAAATAAATGTGTCCATAGGTATTAAAGTTTTACCACAGGTGTTTGAAATTATCTTCTTTTTATCCTGAAACGCCTCTCGTTTGATGTGTTTCGTTGTACCTATTTATTTAAGTTTTTAAAAAATGTCTGTTGAACAAAAATTTTTGAAGAACCACAACAATTTTGCTACACAGAAAATTACAATATTAACTATACAGTGTGTGTCAGAACTCGCGCCCCAGAGAAAAAATTCAAGTAAGATAAGGTACCACGAACATGAAAAAAATATTTAAAAAGTTCTATTTGTCAAAAAAATTTGACATTTATTTTTTGACATTTGACAATTTTTTTGTCTATTTAATGATGATCTTGTATATGTTTTTTTTATAATTATTTAGTAAAGGTACAAAAATTTTACCAATAAAAGCCACAAATAACATTAAACAGAGTTACAATTTAGTATACAGCTTCCTTTCTTCCTCTTGTAAATAGCCTGTGGCAAAAAAATTTGGAAAATTATTTTTTCAACGGAAATAAATAGAGTCAAAGTTCAAATTTATAGATAGAATTTTTTCCATGTTTCTGGTATCTTACCTTAGATGGTATTTTTCTCTAATTGGGCGCGAGTTCTGGCGCACCGTGTATTTAAAAATTTAATGGTATATTCAACATTTATGCAATAAACATATCTAAATACCAATTTATACGTTGAATGTTATTTTTTTAATTTTGACACCTAGTGTACCTACTTCATTGTAAAAAGGGATATCAGAATAATAAATATCAAGTTTTTATTTTTTTAACGTAAGTTTTGTTTTCCAAACCCTATACATTTTTCATATCTAGCTACAATTTATTTTTTAACTTGTAGTTATTTATGTATTCAGAGCTGTTAATGACCCAGGGACTTGTTTGAGGCCCAAAAAAGGAGGGCCTAAATTCTACCGAGGTCGTTATGTTTCTTAACAGCACGTGTTACACACAACGTTTTTCGACGTATTAAATTACCATTAAAAAAAATAAATATCCAAATTTTGAAAATGTCAAATTTGAAGGTTTAAACCATCAAACCTGATGTCAAAAAGCCGGGTGTTCAAAGAAAAGCTGGCTATTAAAACTTCTTAACAGAGTTTCTTGAGCATTATTGACAATTTATCGACTATAAATTGTTGAATGTTTTCATATTATAAGTTATAACAACATGGAACGACTAAAAAATAAATAAACAACATGTGCAATGCCGCATTTAAGTGAAGTAAAGAAAACCAAAATCTTCGCTCACCTGGAAAATGGTAGGAAAATTATGAATTTAGCGGCAGAATTTAGAGTGAGAAAAAGTACCATCGAAAGGATTAAAAAAAAGTGGGTAAATAAATGAGGGCTCCGTGAAAGGCAATATGGGTTTGGGTTGCTCTAAAAGTACAAATGATTAAGTATTAAGTTGTTCAGTTTGTTACTAAATTTGTTGAAATATAACCTATTTTTAACAGACATGCTATCAAAATATTTAACCTATTTTTAATAAAACTCGTTCACACCATGGAAAAATTACAAATAAAAACTCAATTTTTTTGACATTTCCCGTTTTTTTTTTAATGTAGCTGTACTTTTAATCCTTTCAATAATATCTATGGTTTGAAGGATTGCGAACTGATTAAATTTTAGTGGAAAATCCGGAATGAACATCCAGTTATTTGTATGTATTAACAATAATTGTGATGGAATATGGGTATCGATTTCATTTTCCCCTTTAGTCTCAATAAAATTTGAAGCATTTGCTATTATTGGTACCAGCACAAAGCGAACAAGTGGTTTAAAAGTGGTTTCCACAACAATGATTTATTTCCCGCCTTAACATAATTGTTCGACAAGCTGGAACTTATACAAGCACCGCAACTTTTCTTTGACATTATAGAGATCGAAAGGGCTTGACAGACGTCAAATCGAAATGGAACAAGACCACCTTGCTTGGGAATCAAAAATTACTAATTCAAACAACCAACGCGTCCTTCGTCCATGTACGAAAAACAATCGATTAGGACATTCTGAGGGTGAGTGCAGTCGAAGTTGCGTTCTTTTTTGCTACCGGTATAATAGATCGAAGGAAAAAAGGTCATATAATGGGGCGTCGTGGGGTCACGGAGAATGGAGTGCCAATAGAGGGAGTCCTGCTGGGCTTTATGCAGTCCATTGACGGCATCGACACGGTCTCATTGCAATCAAGGGTACAAGACGATTGTTTAGATTTTAATTTCGAAAATGCCGATGTAATCTCGATGAGAAAGTTTGGGGTCGCGCTCTCCTAATGAACCCCACGAAGAAGGTAAAATCGGGGGATTTTTATTAAAATGTTACCATCGACGTCGAGTGTCGATAACGTAATAAGTTTTTGGTCGAGAGCACTGATCGTATGAGCTAAAGCGCAGCCCACACGTGCCTGCCACGTGGCACGATAGATTATTACACATTACGAGTTGAACGATCGCTCCACCCGTTTTCACGATTGTTAAAAAGCGGGTTTGCGAATAAATGGAGTTGGATTTTATTGCGCCAACACGTGACGGTTTCAATTTTTAAGCGAAAGCGATTTTGGTCAAGACTGGTCCGGAGTTTGCCAACTCTCAGCCAGTTTTCTTGGCAAACAGGCGGCAAATCTATGCACCCTCTTGTGACTGCACGCTCGTCTTTACGGTTTGCTGCGTATCACCCTCTCGCTGCCTTACATTACACAGCATAATTCCGAGCCACACCAACGGATTCGATTCTGAACACCCTCGCTTTATCTGACAATACTGATGCTGAGAAATTTAAGAACACCGTCTCATATGGAACTTGGAAATGCACAAATGAGACCAGATATTGATCCACACTGAATTCTCAGCAACAAGTCAAAACCCTCGTCTCATTTTTTAGCAATCACATCAACGCATGAGGCAATATTAGCCTCCACTAAAATAAATCAATTTTTACTACACTTGTCCACTAATCTTAAATTGAAAATAAAAGATGATTGGTCATAATATACGTTTTATACACCATTGTTTCAGAAAATTGTTTTAATCTTGGTTTAATACATGTAGCCTGTACATAAATAATAATAGAAATTGTCCTCATATACAGGCTGTTCCGTCTAAACCCCACATTAGAAGTATTGAAAGTTCTAACAGTGATATTTATCTAAAATTTTGACTATAGCCATAATCGTTTAGATCCTGCTCAATGAAAATAAATGAGTATCAACTTTGTTATTTTAAATAAAACGTTATGTTTTTTATTGCGTTTTTGGATTAGTGAAGTGATTTTGAGAGAGTTTTTATTAGACTTTCCTATACCTAAATTTAACCGTTTTTGAAATATGTATTTAGATTTTTTTGATTTTTTTTTAATTTGCATTTTCCTTTCCAAAAATCGATAACTCTACCATTTTTAATTATTTTGAAGTCGTATTTGGGCATATAAAAAAGAAAAGTGCGATCTTTTCTTTCGTGTATTTATAATTGGAAAAATAATTAATTATCAAACCTCCAAAATTTAAGGTTACGTATGGGAAAGTTCAAATACCTGTAACTGATTTTTTTCAAATGGAAGGCCCCGATTTTTTCTTAGCTAAATGCAAGAGAATTTAATTCTGCATCAATCTGTACCTATCTACATTCCCTAGGTATACCTAAATTTAATGATTTCCAAGTTATTTTGACTTTTTTTTACAATGGAAAAAATCCATTACTATCCATGGTAGTTTTCGCATAGTTTGCCATGAAAATATTTCTCACTGAAAATACCTAAATTTAATGATTTCCATGTTATTTTGACTTTTTTTACAATGGAAAAAATCCATTACTATCCATGGTAGTTTTCGCATAGTTTGCCATGAAAATATTTCTCACTGAAAAAATGCCAAGTTTTTTTTCACAATTGTGTTATTCTTTTCGTAAATACAAATTAAATTTAATCTAAATTTGAATAACTTTGATATTCAATTTTTTTCTTATCTCTGTGACAACCTTTGCTAAAGTAGCTATAGCTAATGATTTTTTCACAATATCAAAAGAAGTTACTATAACTTGAAAACTGTCAAACATAGGTATAGGGAATGTTAACACAGATCGAAGCAGAACAAAATTCTCCTCCATTTAGTGAAGATAAAAATGTGGTGTTTCATTTAGAAAAATTGAGTTAAGAGTATTTGAAGTTTCCTAAACGTAATCTCTTACATTTTGGCGGTTTGTTAATTATTTTTCCAAATATGAATACACCAAAGAAAAGATCCAACCTTTTTTCTCTCGTATACCCAAATACGATTTCAACATAATAAAAATGGTGGAGTTATCGATTTTTCAATAGCTAGATTCAAATTCAAAAAAAAAATAAAAAAGGTCTAAATATTTCGAAAACGGTTAGGGAGGGTTAATAAAAACTCTATCAAAATCCCTTGAGTAATCCAAAAACGCAATAAAAAAACATAACAATCTATTTAAAATAACGAAGTTGATATCCACTTCCGGTGTAACAGGAAGTTCAACTTGAAAATATTTTCATTGAGCAGAACCTAACCGATTATGGCTATAAACAAAATTTTAGAAAAATATCTTTGTTAGAATTCCCAATACCTCTAATGTGGGGTGTAGCCAGAACACTGTATACAGTGGATTTGCAAAACAAGAATTTATTATTTTACCAGCCTACAAATTCCATGAGAAGTGAACAGAATGCAATATTTTTCATTTTCCTCTACAGCTTTGCTATTTTTCGTTTTTATTTTCGCTTTGAGCCTACTTTAAAACCAAATCAATTTCCATTTGTGTTTTCCCCGCATCGCCAGCCCGTTAAACCGAATAAAACTCCACAACAATTTGTCATTAGTGTTAAAACAAGTCGGAAAGCAAACTCGCAAAAACTCTATAAATATCTTCACATTTGGCCCGTCTCCGTCATAAATTCACAATTTTCGCGGATGCCATTAATTCTAAAAGCATTTTTAAGTCTGGCAAAAGTTTTTTCTTGGTCGACCAGCTGCGTTCTAACCCTATTAATGGACAGATAAAGTTATTTGAGGAGCCGCCGCATATCTCCGCTAGCAGATAGGCAAGGCGGGGGCGGACGACGGACCGCATTGATTGGAGCATCTCCCGACCAGTCAAGCGAGAGGAATCAACTTTAAAACGGTACTGAAACAGCATTCCCCTAACATTACCCCTCAAACATTTTCTGAAACGTAGCATTCGGTAAAACCGTCGTGATAACGGCCTTTAATTATACTCCGCCATGGCAAAATTAAAACGGAACGGGAGAGGCTCAGATGCGAGCTCTACAAGAGGATTTATTCACTAACTAGATTTTAAATACGAGGAATAACACTTCTTACAGTTTCATCACTGTAGGTATGCTTTCTTACAGACTTGAAACTAAAACTGTTTCTGGAATTAAATTTTTAGAACTCCTAGATTTAACTGACATCACTAATCAAGGTGTTTTAACATCAAAAATTTCAGTTTTTAGTTTAAAATTCCACTAAATTTTAATATTTCTAACTCTAGAAATAATGCAAAGGCATTAGATATTACATACTTATTTTACGTTTTAACAAAAAATGAAATTAGTTATCATTTCAAATAAAGGATGTTTTTAAAAAAATAAAGAATTTATTACTCCGCAAAAAATATCTAACATTCAAAATGACAATTTCCTTTGTCTTCATTATTTTTCTTTGAATATTGGTTCGGGAGAGTTCTACCACCGGGAGAGTGTGTCCAGTGTAAATATTTAAACCCTTAGGTGGCCGAAAGTCATGCGCATCAAACAAGTGTTTATTAATAGCACTGTCAGGATAAAAAGTCGATTCAAAGCTTTATTCGGTATTCAATTAAAATTTAACGTGTGATTGTTAAAATTTTTCATGTCACAGAATGTTTTTTTTAATTATTTTATTACGTCGTTAATAAATATGTAAATACATATTAAAATTTATTGCCAATCTTCAAAATACCTGCTTCTGCTTGTAACTTTTAGCAAAATAACTTTCTTCTGTATACGAGGTGTTCAGAACTCGCGCCTCAGAGAAAAATACAAGTAAGAAACATGGAAAAAAGCTTTAAAAAACTTCAAAATATTTTGACATTTATTTTTTGACATTTGACATTTTTTTATGTCTATTTAATGTTACCGATGATTTTGTATATATCTTTTTCATAATTATTCAGTAAAGGTAGAAAAACTTTGCTAATAAAAGCCATAAACATAGTTAAAATTCAGGGTACAGCTTCTTTGTTTCTTCTTCTAATAGCTTTCAGCAAAAAAACATGTAAAATTATTTTGCTAACAGGGTCAAACTGCAGAACTGCGAAATTTTCTGTAGATAGAATTTCACATTTTCACATTTTTCTCTGGAGTTTTGAAGCAGCCTGTATATAACCTCAAAATTTTTAAGGTATTCTCACTTCATAGAGATTAGGAAGATGTTGGGTTCCCACTAGGTTTTGGGATAGTTCGACCAGAGATATTCGAGAGAGATCATTCCAAATAAAGCAATGAAAAGTGTTAAGGTTAAGACATTTTTTTTGAGATTACCAAAATGTCCACTGATCACAAAAAAATACATAAAGAAAGGGCTAAATAGAGTGCTGAATCTATAAAAAATGGAATTGAATGTGTTCATAATAGAACAATAAGTATAAATAAAGCTGCCTGAATTTTGGAATACCGAAATCAACACTGAAAGACAAAAGTATTTTTCTTTCTGAACTGTGTGCTTTAAATATTTACATTTGCACATGTTTTTGTCACTAACTGTGTTTTTAACGAAATTTGTGTAGCATATTTTTCCTGATCGGTCTCACCCATAATCGGTAGATGTTCTAACCAGACATACGAGTGAGACCGACCATTTGCAATACTTTTTGTTAATAATTTGGAAATAAAAATAGTATGTTAATTTTTTGTAATGAATTTTTGTTCCTAAAAGTTTAAAAAAATTATTGAACCATTTAGAATAAACGTACATGAAAAATTATTAGAACTTCAAGTTACTAAACAAAAAGTGTTCGAACTCTCCTGGTCATACCCTATTATTTTGGTTAAAGTTTAGCCTAAATTTGGAATTATAAAAAAACTAAAACCGTATTTTTCTGCAGCCTACTGTTAACATTATGATTATGAAGCAATCAGTAAAAAATACTTAAATATTTCAATCGCAAAATAATAAACAATGAAATGTACCATGTCACATTTAAAAACCAAAGTTATGAACCTTTGCTAGAAGAATTTATGTAAAAATACGATTTTTCAAAATTAAAAAAAGAGCCAAAAATCTGTATTCAGATTTCGAAACTTAAAACCTTTTGAAATAATAAACATTCACATCAGATTTGGACCGTTGCAACTGAATTTTTTTGTTGGAGTTAAACTTACTCTAGTTCGGTCCTAATTCTAATAACCATTTTTTATACAAATAACACTGTCACTTTTTTACTATTTTTAGTAGTAGTTTTAATTTTTATTGAAAAGTCTGAGAAAAACGCATTTGATGTACTAAAATTAGCCTTTTTTGGCTGTTCTGCTCTTTTCTGTTCAAAAAAAAAAACAAAAATAGGTGAACTCCACTGATTTTTTTCCCGTAGAATTCAGATTTGAAACCCGTTTGTTTCTATTGCGGTCTTTAGACAGAATACAAATTTAAAAAATTTAAATAGAGACCGTCTATTATGAATTCTTTTCTGAACGGGAAAGTACATACAATAAAGACATTCAACAACAGCTAAGAAAAACATTTTTAGAACATTCATTGCGATCAAAATCCCTTCAGAACAAATTAAAACAGATTTCAAACTCGCATTCAGCATCGCAAAAAACAGTAAGTTCACTCCCTTTTGTCCAAAGGAGGGTTTTGGTGTTAGAAAATTATTTTTTAAGTTGCTATTGCAATTAAAGTTGGACGACTTTTTAACTAATTTCGAAATAAAATCAAGAAGATGTGTTTGCCACTATTGTAAAATAACGTCAATATAGTACAAAGTTTATTTCCCTTACTTTATAAAATTTCGAAAGAATTTCCGCCAACAAACTTAAAACTTAAACAAATATTTAGGTGCAAACATAAATAAACCACAGTATCTTGTATCGTTAAATCAATGTTGTTTTATTGTTATTTCAATGTTTATAAAACGTATACATTTTGTGGATATTTTTACGAATAAATTGCGTTTTTAGTCCGGGATTTAGAATGAGGTGGCCGTCAGAAGCGTATAATGTGAAGAAAGACCTTGCGCATTTAGGAGAAAAATCCATAACGTTTTTGTTTTGAGGAATAGAGACATCGCGAGCAATGGGAGATGAGGGACGTTGCCATGGAAATTTGCATGCATCCAATAAACGGTACTCAGAAGATTTACTCATCCTTCGTGAGGTCAGGACTTGTTAGAATCTCACAGTTCAGAAAGAACAATAAAGTATTATTGCTTGGCGAAACAGACGAAGAAAAACGACAAAGACTACTTCGGAAAAATAATTATGAAACTGTTGGAAAAACTTTCGTTTTATTAAATTTTCCTTAAAATTTGATATAAAAGTCAGGTCGAGACCCTCGCCCTGAAAAATGACGCATAATCAGAGAGCTTGCAATATTCTTTCATAGTTTCCCATTTTAAAGAGCTGCTCCTTTATTATAACGCCGGGGTGTTGAGGGCTGCCGGGGGGCGACTGTCTAATACGCGGAAGAGTAAAGTTATATAAGAGGCTCGTCACGCAGGTTAAACCGATGATTACAAACTGATTAAACCTGATGCTGTTATCGTAAGCTTATGCTTCCGTTTAGCGGGTGAACCCCCCTTTTCGGGAGTGATCGATCGAAGACTCGCACTTTCCAACTTCAAATTTATGTAAACACTTTGAAGGAAGACTACGAAAATAAATCATTGCTGTAAACATCAGCGCCGTGCAAAACATCGCATAAATCTGGGCTATCTTTGAAAAATATTAGCTCGAATATTAAGTTTTTAATTATATATATCTCGTGTCACATCTTGGTGGTTGTCGAGTTCTCATGCATGTCTCCGTTTCCACGTCAGCAACCATAACATCACCACTACTACACTTGTCAGGGTGTATTACTTACGCTCGGTATGTTGTCGTTGGTACAGACACCCTCTTGTAACAGTCGATCTCGGATCTCCCAGGCAAATATCGAAGGACACTCGCGTTTGTACGATGATATTTTTGACACCACTTCTGCAGTCGCCACTCGGGGCTTTGAACCACCGATTGCCCGAGGTCGGATTGATCCAGTCTCGTAGTACCTGGGGGAAGAGGCCAAACAGCTTTAAAGACATACATACCTGAAAAGGACTTACTGACTTTCACAAATATATACACAAATTTATTACCTTTCTACAAACTTTTTTTATAATTTTGAACAGAATAACAATCTAAATTATTCGGACTAATTAAAATTTAATCAAAAATCTGATAATTTGCTAACCACTAAAAAGCTGCTTTCCCATATTCTGTTCTGGTATTTATTAACCTTATTAGAAACATTAAAACCACAAAAAAATATTGTGACTTTGTGTACTTTTATTTTTGTATAAAGTGTCAATCAAATCTTTCTCCGTTTGTTTTATTTAAGTTTTAAATTTGATTCTGCTTCTTTTGTTTACTAATTTGGTAAAATTTCTTAAACAAAACCTAATTTTTTTGACTATTCAAATCCCACAACTCCTACAAGTGGAATCAGAAAAAAATTACAAGAACTTCTCACAAAAACTTCTAATAGAAAACGATTATTTACAAAAGATGAATTCATTGTCAATAAAATCTTTCGCCGTTTGATTTATTTAAGTTTTAAATTTGATTTTGCTTCTTTTGTTTACTAATTTGGTAAAATTTCTTAAACAAAAACCTAATTTTTTTGACTATTCAAATCCCACAACTCCTACAAGTGGAATCGGAAAAAAATTACAAGAACTTCTTACAAAAACTGCTAATAGAAAACGATTATTTACAAGAGATGAATTCAAGTCACATATAGTCTGTTTTGTTTCATGAAAAACACCAAGTCAAAATTTTGGTGAAAAAACTGGTAGTAGCTTATCTCCATTGCCACAAATTTTGTTTGCTTTTTGTTTTTCTCCCTAGAAATTTTGATAAAAAATTATGGTTATGTTTTCATATTGAGATGTTGTCAAAATTTGACTTTTATGAATCTCGTGTGTCTGTTTGAAATCGTTATAATCAAATACCTGAGAACATACATCGTTACCTAAGGACTAAAGACAGAATTTAGTGCAAAAAATTTTGATAGAAACATACCGCAAATAAGTAGGGGAAGGCGGGGCAAGACGGGGACCTTAACGTTTAAAGTCGAATAAAAAACTAAATATACATCACAGAAGTTCGAAACTCTATTTATCAACTTAATCAGTCTTCTCTCTGTTAGACTATAATAAAAAAATAACAAAAATTATTATTTTTTTTTAATAACGATGAAAAGAAATAAAAACACTTTTACCCCATCTTGCCCCACCCTTGGGGTAAAATGGGGTCCCCCATTGGGCAAGATGGGATACTACAGTTTTAAAGACTGCGTCTTCATCGTCGTCATCGACGCCAGCGCAGCCCCAATGTGCCCACTTCCCACATAGCTGACATGTGATCCATTTTTCTTTGCTGTAGCAATTATCTTGGATCTCGATTTGGGTACAATAAATAATCCAGTTTCATCACAATTATAAATTTTATCCGGAGTAAATTTATATTCATCCAAAGCTTTTCCTAACAGATCAAAAAACTTTCCCACCGACACTCTATTAAATCCCGCAAGTCCAGCAGCAGAAGTATTTTCTGGTTTCCGAAGACTTATTTCTGGATGACACTTAAGAAATCCCTTAACCTAATCTTTACGAGATTTTGCCTTGACTTCACTGAACTTATGTTGCTTATTATTGACCATTGCCAATTGATGTGCCCCATACCCCATTTTGCCCCAACGGGACCTTGTAGGTAAAAAAAAATCATTTTATAAATGGACAAGTAATCGTGTAAATAACTAGTCTAACATCAAGTTTAAAGTACAGGGATTGCAATAAAACGATAAACCTATGTATTTCTGACAGTCACGTTCGAAACACAATAGAAAAATAACATCAAATAATTAAAAAAATATTTTTTACTCACAGCAACGTTATGTGTTATGCTCAGGTTCTCGCTTTTGCCGCAGTGAAAAGTTTTGAGATACTTCTACAAAATAACGTTAACAGTTTTATCAAAACTGTTTTTGTTTTTGAGATATAGTGGGTCCCTATCTTACCTCGCTACCCCGTCTTACCCCTCTTTTCCCTACTATGTTGCGGTGAAATACGAGCTTCTTGCTACAAAAACTTTAATAAAAAAGGGTGTATATAGAAATAATACAGAAGAAAGTTATTTTGTAAAAAACACAAGCAGGTATTATGAAGATTGTCAATAAATTTTGAGTAATTTATTGAAATGAGCTCGAAGTTGATGCATCTTCTAAATTCTTCTTCAGCTTAAGTTTCAAAATTGTTACTTTTTCAACTCTTTCCTCTTTCGTCAATTTCTTGCTAAAAATTAGAGAATGTTTAGCAAACCTGCATTACAAATTGCGTCTAAATTTCGGCGGTGCTCTTTTTCTGACTTCCTGCTTGCAAACTATTCGTTTCCAAATTTCTAAAAACTATTAGCGGTACCGAATTTGTCTCCGTTTTTATATCTATTTTTTTTCTTGCTCACGTTTAATGACATTGTTTTCAAGTTAATTCAAAAACTGGCAACTTCTTTTATTAAAATTACTATGATTGAATTTGCAAGTGGTGCCAACATTGAGACTGTTTGACATTGCCATTTAAAAAAAACAGACTTTATATGCATACATATTGTTTTCATATTACTGTGCATCAAAGTAGCCGTTAAAAGGGACCATTTTAGAGTGGCAACTATGCAAAAATTCAAACAATTCTTACCTCAATCTTACCTAATTTTGCAAATAAATGTGTACTCCAGGTTGCGAAAAATAATTGAAATTAACAATGTAATTAAATAGGGTGGCAAACTTAAAGATATTTGTCATTATTAATGTAATCAAATTTGTTCTGAATGACATTAATAACATTTTTTGTGTGAAATGGCTTTTAAATTAAAGATTCATTTAGACTTCTACAACCTACTTGATGCACATTAATATTACAAGAAATAAATGTTAAGTTAGTGCCAAATTGTACGATGACAGTATGATGACAGTTATCCCGAAAAATTTTGACATTTATTGCTTCTGTTGAAACTGAACCAGAAACCAGCACATCACACTGTCGTGGTAAGTTCCTAATTGACGTAAATCAAAAATTAACGAATTATTTTAACATAATTTGTTTGCAATTTTTAAAATTATCTAAGAAAACCTCAAATCGGAAACAAATTTGTCATCTATAAATACCATTTCGAGTTTCAAATATAGCTTGAAATTAATTATTCTTGTAAGATAATGCAAGCTTTACAAACAGTTGTAACTCAAAATGGAATTCTTTCAAAAACTACTCAATTCTGTTTTACAAATCTTGTATTCCTCGTCAAACTAAAATAGGGTTTAAATTTACAGATGGCTGAATCAAATTCTGATTTTACACCATCGGTCTGGGAAACTGAAGAGGATATTTTAAAAGACGTCAAGGATTTTGACGAATACTCATTACATTCTGAGGCCAAAATGCCTCAAACTTTAGTAGACTACTATGAAAAAATAAAGAAAACCCGTGAGTTACTAGATGAAATTGACAATGAGGCAGAGAAGCGAGAAGAGGAGCGGAAACAAAATCCTCCTCAAAAGAAAGTTCCAGAAAATGTAATGCGAACCCCTGTACTTTTCAGAATTCTTCAAAATCGAGACAAGTAGTTGTCTGTGTTAAATTTTCGTTGTTTTTTTTTTAAATGTGAATAAATTTTGCGTTTGTGGTGTAAAATTTGATTACCTGCCAAGTATCTTGGAGACACATCCATTGGAGACTTGTAGTATCCTGGAGATGTCACAGGGTCGGGCTCCGGAATGAGCAAGTTCGACGATCTTCTGTCTGGTGGAATCCGGCAAGGGTCGCCCGCTGACGAACACCCCCCCTAGCTGGTTCACACCGCTATGACCTGCCCACAGTCGTGCCAGAGTTAGAGCCCGATTAGACACCATTTGAATTATTTTTTACTACACAGACAAATCTGCACTTACTGTGCACATCATACGGTGTGAGAAACAAGCTAAAGAATGATCTCGTCAATTGACTACCTTGCACAGGACGAGGACACGCACGAAGAAGCCAATGTCGCAACGACTGCTCAACGAGACAAATCGCAAGACGAAAAAATTTAAAAGTCCATCGAGTTGCTCTCGTTGGGTCGCCGGTGCCCTCCGTGCGGGTCCTCGGGAAGCGCCCTAACACTTCAAGATGATTACATCATCTTGATTACCTGTAAAAGAGAAACTGGTTGCAAAAAAACAGAAATGTAAGTATTGTCAGCGCGTGGTTTTCCGCATCAAAGTTTCTCTAGGGATTTTTCGCAATTTATTCGGGGATACGTGCGAGGACTAGTGAGTTGTTCATCTGTCGTTGGAAAGTAAAGGAACTGACAAGTGTGAGGGAATTCCTGAAGAAATCACGGGAAACGGGAAAATTCTCCTAAAAACGTCAATCACCCAGTTCTCCGATAAAACCGGAGAACGACAAACTTCCATTCTGATGTGAATTTTAATCAAATTTACCCGAAAGCTACGTTTTATTTAATTGATTTCATTTGTAACGAACACATCTCGATAAAAAACGCTAAAGTGTTTCAATGCTCCCTCTAAATCATTGACCCTCTGATGTCGATCCTAATAAATACAAATACAGAGCAAACATAATGGGTTCGGAACTGTTACACAGAAGCAGAGCTGACAAACATCGGTAAATGTGGGATGAATAGACTAATCCCGGACCATGTCCGACGATATCCCATGCGTTTACACTAGGAACATGTTCACTCCACCAAATATCAACTTGATTCTCGTTCACACGGCGGCGCGGCGTTTTAAAAATCATAACTCAGATTTAAAATTGTATTTTTTAGCGACCGAATGAAGGCAGGCAATTTTTGTCAGGTATAGAAATAAAAATTTGTAACACGAACGTAGTGAGTAGTATCAAATTTAAATATTCGGACATACATGGTGTACATAAAGTTTGAACCAATAATTATTTTTTTGGTAAAATTAATTGGTGATGATAAAGAGAAAAAGATTTTAACCTGTCATTAAACAAAATCCTGTAGTTATCAAAGTCAATTTCAAATATTATACTTTGTCTCAAATTCTGACGAATAAATGAAACGAATATTTGCATATTTGCATTTTTTTATTTTAATTTTTCAAATCTGCATTTTTTAAAATATACTTACTATAATAAGTTAATAACCATGACACCAATGCGGTCATTACATTAATTTAATGACGTTATGTCCATAATTAAGCCTATAAACTAAGTAAATTGTTTTTATTATTTAGGTGGGGTTAAATGGTATTATTTACTGACATTCGACTAAAATAAAAAAGTGTTGTTTAACCTATTTATTGTTTATAATATTTCTTTCCCTAAATTGATGCATAATATGTTAAGACTCATCCTGTATAGTTACAATTTTTAAATCATTGTCTCTGTTGAAACAAATCTATTAATTTTTTTTAGAAAGAAAGCAAAAAATTTAATTTATGCAAAAAATGCTTGTTTTCATACTTTTCATTCGTCCCGTCAGTATGTATAATAATATTCATTAACTGTTATGTATTATTATTATTAATATTCGAATTCATGACAAACTATTATTGACAATAGTAAAACAATATTAATAGTTATTTGTACAACTAGTTTTGAAAGTCATACTTTTTTTCACCAATTTGCAGTTAATTAACGAGGGCTCTGCCCGAGTTAATTAAGTAAATGAGTGAAAAAATGACTTTTCAAACCAGTTGTAACCAACAGTTTTTTGCATAGTGATAACCCCAAGAACGCCAAAGAACAAAAAGATATCAATTTCATAAATGAAATCGTAATGTATTGCAAGCTCTTTGTATTAAACTCTATAGAAGCTATAGAAATAACTATAGAAATATAACTATAGAAATCGTTTAAAAAAGTATAAGGTCTATACGATTAATCGTGATGAAAATTCAACTTTCATAGCCACTATGCAAAAAAAAAATAATACACACCCGACATTTTGTTCTCAGTACTTCATATTTTTTTCAAGTAGCATAACCTGAATTATGGAGCTTGTTTTTGAACTTCCATTGAACTAGACCGATTTTTTTTGTAATTTTATATCACTTTTATGAATTATAAAATAGCTAAAGCAGCTTTCTAATTAGTGAGTAATCGGTCTTTCTTTGGTGGAAAAGCATCGATTTGAATAGTTGGCACCCCCCAGCCCAGCCATAACTAACACAAGCTTACCACTGCTCAACAAAAGTACAAAAGCTTTAATCACAATTTGTTATGCTTTTCATGCGACCGACAAGAGCTTATTTGACGTTTCAATTTGTGAAAATCTACGAAACGATCGGTAAAATTCGCTAGGATGTCCGTGGTTTTAACTTTAATGTGATGATAAAAATTCCATATAAATATAAAGAAGCTCTAACAAAACCCCATAAATCAGTAAAATCAGTCTTTCGGCGGCACAAAAGGCTTTTATTCGCATCTCCACGTGACAAATGGAATCTGGTAGTGAAAGGTGAACAGTCCTCGATTTTTATATATCCAGAACACGCATGAAGGATTTCTACGTATCTTGCAGGGGTGGGCCAACGTCTCACGTCCCCATTCAGAGCCTAGAAGTCGCTTTTCCAACACAAAGACACCCCTCACTGGGTGTATTATCATAGGAAGTCTCACTTGTCACCGCCACTGCTTCTTTATGTCTCATTGATATTTATTATTGTTAGTTTTGGAGCTTCCGCGGGGATCTGATTTATTACTTTGATAGTTCTTTTTGACCCGGCAAAAACCGTTTCATTGATTCTTTTGCATAAGAGCCTCGCCATGTTTTCATGATTTTACCAAATCAAACCAAATTTAAAGAGGGTGAAGCTCGGCCGGATCATCGGCCAACAACTCAACTGTAAAATTTTCATCTTGAAACAGAATATCGATTGAACTGGGAAAGTTCTTTATGATAACCTTTGTAGAAGCTTTCTTTTTATTTTTTGCTGCTGCCGTTGTTCGAGAGTGGACATAGGCATATATTGTTAGAGAATGGAAGAGATTCATGCATTTTAACGTTATCGCCACCAACACATTTTCTTTGTTATTTATGTTATTACCGTTCTTACGACGCTAGAGTCTCTAAAGCGCAATTATTTACGGCTCCTATGGCCGCCACAACTCCATTACTGATGTCTTTTTTATGCCAACTCCAACATTTATTTTTATTATCTATAAATTAATTTCTAGTTTTATCGATCGTGCGTTAGGCTAGCTGAAAACGCAGTGCTACAGACTTGTTTTTTTAGACCGTAAATTTTCTTAAGTACCGGACGCGACACTTGGACGATTCACCAAGAAAGCGTTGGTCACCCTCGAGGAAAATCACTTACGACACCAAATAACTAACGTCTTTACAATGGACCCTCCTGATGTTGTACCAATGCAATCTTGTATAGACCCGACCATTTCTTTGTGGGAACAATTGCTATTTTTTTCTTATTTAATATGTCAACAATTTTGCCCAACAAAATTATATTCCACCCACAATCGCAATAAATTTCTTTCAGACAGACTATTAATTGTCTCAACAATACTTCATTTAGTAATAATCTTTATGAAGTATATTTCATGACTTGACTTATATCTGAAATAAGCAATTAGCCTTTGCGAAATAAACATAATTTATGCCAGATATAATACCATTTTCTTAACGAGATGTAACATTTGTTATCTACTCTGCTGTAACTTGGAATAATTTAAATAACAGTAAATAGTATTAGTTTTAGGTAATCCAGGATTGAATTAAGTACAAATATTTCTGTTTTAAAAGCTACAAAATAAAAAATATATATTTTAAAGTTATTACCTTTACCTTTGTGTGCCATATCGTCCACGGATGTGATAGCGGATGGCCATGGTGCCACCGCCCCCAGCTGCTGTGCCGGGAGAATGATGGTGTTATATCACTGCACAAAACACAACACGCTGAAACAAAAAAACCCAATTTACTGGTGTTTTCATAAATAAGATACATATATTTCAAAAATTGAAAACGTCCATTAATGAAGGATACGCAAAATATTTGTCCAGTTGCAAACTATAATTGTTGGGGTACAAGATGTCTTTGAATTCATGACATTAATATTGCTTTTTTGTCATTAAAAAAATAATTTCTTTTGAGTTTTCCGGAATCAGTGTTGAGAGAGCGGGTCACCAACGGAAGACTGAACTTAATTTAATTAACTTTATCAATAGCCGAATCGGCAATGAAACCAAGAGGCAGTTAAACTCCCCTCTGTTGGTGAGACTCCGGAGTGTAGTGCGACGGAAGCGCGTTTCATACTGTCTCATTCAATACAAAAGCGTCTCGACGTCGATCGACGCTCGTCCACAGTTACCGAAACCAGAACTCTCCCTCTCGAGGTGTTTATTATATCGGGTAGTAAATGACATCAAGCACTCTAATACCCCACTTCACGAGCAGAAACGAATTAAATAGGCTCTAGTTAGACGAATGTTGCTACCCCAATGGAAGAGCAAAGCAATTAAATCCATACTTTGTAAATACAAATAAGGATAATTTAATTAATATTATAAAAGAATAAATATAATTATATGTATCATGTGACATTATAGAAAGAATAAATGTCAAAGAGAGAATATCAGAAATAAGCTTCATTTACGGTATCTTATAATAAATTGCGTTTAAACTACTTGGCCAACCTGAGAGCGTATAGCGTTGGCACACTTTATTAACGATTATTAGGTTAGAGAAGCTTTATTTACCTTTAGAATTACAAAGGGACGGAGAAAGAAAACCCTCTAGATACCGGCTTAACTAAATACGGTTATATTACCAAGTGTTACAACTCGATATTAGAAATTTAATATGGAACTTAATCAAAACTTTACCTCGCCATTTCATATGAGCTGCATTCATTACGAGTTAACAACTTTTAATTTGATAACGGTGAATAGATCGCATAAACCCTTGCAAAAATGCTGAGTCTAAATGAATCAATGTGAAAAGGTTTAGGATGAACTAACAGGGGTTTTAAATACAATAATTATAAACATAATTATAGTTTATTTAAACTGAAACATGTAAAAATTTTGAAAAAAAAAATAGTAGCAGCCTGTTTTTCATTTTGTAAATTTTGTGTTTGAAGTGTTTTCCGAAATATATAGTTACTAGGGTTACTATGGTATAGTTGACAGTCTAACGATTGTATATTGTTGTTGTATATAAATGTTATTCATACCATAACAATCGAATTCAGATCACTTTTATTTAGACTCATTTTTATTTATGTAATACAATTAAAATTATTTTTTCTAACACTAATACCTTATACTGTTTCAATGGTGCTGCATTTAAGCTTATCTCTTATGTTGCCCTTAAAATACGCTTCATCTATAAAGTACGTCGTCAATAGCAACGTATCTTATGAGTCTATAAAATGCGCTGATGCATATTTTTTGTCAATTTTGACATTATTTTGACATACTAATTTACAATTATTTCTGAATTTATAAAATTTCTGATCCAATATTAGTGTTGCAAAAATCTTGAAGACAACACGAGTTTTATAGTTTAAAAATCTCAGTCTATTAAATTCGAGCGACCGGAGGTAGCGACCTCGATTTTTAAACTGGTTATAAAATTCTAGTTGTGTTAATAGCTATTTACACCAATTTGAACTGTTAGCTAAATTTGAGCTCGATTATGTAGGGGTCTATCTTGTAAAATAAAATTAAAAATCTCACTCCGTTTGTGGCTTCGCCACAAAAAAATCACTTTTACTCCTAATAACATAATATACTACTACTTAGCAAATCAGTATTATTTTCCTAGCACTTTATTAGTAGCCAGTTGTTAGATATCGCTCGGCGACATTATTCCAACATAACCACCAGGGTGATAAGTTTACTTGCTTCGGGAAATGAAACTAACCGGTTAATCCGGTTTGCCAGCAACTAACACGATGGCTCTTAGTTACAATTTAGAACTGGAATACTTCGCTTTAAGAAGCAAGTTTGTTGAAAGTATGATACCTTCTGTGGAACAATGGCTAATGTCGTAAATTCAGCATATAATAATTAATAAGTATTTTGACTAAAACAACATCTTGTATCATTTTCTATGGCGGGTACGAATCAAATTCTGGTAACTTTGAAAATGTGGAATAATTTGATTCTTTCATATACATATTCTGTGAACTATTAATGGAAGAAGTATTTCACTAGTTTTCCGTCGAATCAGAACTCACTATGTATATAGATCAGCAGGTCTAATGATGATCTTGGCGGAAATTAATCATAGTCAAGTATACAGGATTCGCCAGAACTCGCGCCCCAGAGAAAATTTTCAAGTAAGGTAAGATACCAGGAACATGAAAAAAATGTTTAAAAAATTGTATCTGTCAAAAAAATTTGACATTTATTTTTTGACATTTGACATTTTTGTACATCTATTTAATGATACTGATGATCTTGTATATGTTTTTCTACAATTATTTAGTAAAGGGACAAAAATTTTGACATTAAAAGCCACAAATAGCATTGAACAGAGTTACAATTTAGGATACAGCTTCCTTGTTTTCTTTTTTAATAGCCTATAGCAAAACAACTTGGAAAATTATTTTTCCAACAGAAATAAATAGAGTCAAAGTGCAAACTTTAAACCCTCATAACTCCGAAATTTTTATAGATAATTTTTTTTAACATTTTTTCTATGTTCCTGGTATCTTACCTTATATGGCATTTTTCTCTGGGGCGCGAGTTCTGGCGCACCTGTATGTATACACCGGATTCTGCAGTTGTAAAAAATTTAAATTTTACAAACCCATTTAGCTAAGTAAAATTATTATTAAAAACGATGTTTATAAACTTGGACACTTAACTATATCAACAAGAAAAACCTTGTTCCGAATGTCCAAACATATAATGAACATACCTCTATACGGAGAAGTCAAACATATTCTAATACAGCCTACAATTTCTTAGCGAAAGACATAGGCTTACCAAACACAGGTTCAATGCTTTTGGTTGCTACTATGTCTCATATAGTCTTGTATGCGTATAAAACAAGCATTTTATAAAATGAATAAAATTACAAGTCAATAAAACCTGCACTTTTTTGAATTTCAAACTTCTTTGACAAAAATGTAAATAAACAATTAATTTAGTGCGCTCATAACCTTACAAAGTTACCTGCATAAATTGCTTCCTGACCAAGAGATTCAATGACATATTTCCTGACCTTCTAAAGCTTAGAAAACAGCATATATGTGTTATGTATTACTATAGTGATTGTGAATAAAGTACATTAATTTATATCATTTAAGTATATACAGTGCAATTATTTAATATTACTTGACAAATTTATCATTTTCTTATGTTATTATTATTTTACTCTGCAGGGAACAGAGTTTGGTATGCATTTCTGGAATAAACATCGTTAATCCTTTGATGTCCTTTCGGTCGCATCTGGTATTACCTACATTCTTGCATCGAATTAAAATAGTTGTCTATTTCCTTGATTACTATTATTTTAAGTAATTGAATAATATCAGAATTTGTATATATGTACAAAATTTGTGTAAATTATATACAGGGTGCGTCAGAACTTGCGCTCCAGAGAAAAATGTCAAATGCCGGCGGCATAGGTTGCCAAAAAGTGCAGCCCAAGAAATAACTTTTGCTTGCATAAGAATGTTATTAGACTCCTAAATCCACCAATCCTAGAGGATATATACAGTATGTCCCCGGATTGAGTTTACAAGAGAAGAAAAATATTTATCTTTGTTTTTACGCCAAAACTGCAAAGGAAAAACATTTTTCGCTTCATGTGAAACGAGCAAATCTGTAACTAAAACTTCGTTATTCTTATTCAGTAGAAAGAAAAGTTAATTTATTTTTTTAATTTTGGACTTACAATTATTTTTCTCTGTGTTTTAAATCCCATCACATTAGCGGTTTTACTTTTTTGACAATGATGTCACTTTGACAAATAAGTTTACGCAAATTAAATAACAAAAATGTTTGTGAAAACATAATTTTAATACATGGCAACTCAAAAAACAGCTTTAAGATAAAAAATGCAGTCATTTTTAACAAGAACAATCATTATTCAATTAATTAATTAATTGTCAAAGTAACATCGTTGTCAAAAAAATGAAACCGCTAATGTGATGAGATTTAAACACTAGAGAAAGAAAGTCCGAAATCAAGAAAAAAAGTAAACTTCTCTTCCTACTGAATCAGAATAAAGTTTTAATCACAGATTTGCTCGTTTTAGATAAAGCAAAGAAATATTTTTCTTTTGCAGTTTTGGCGTAAAATCAAAGATTTTTTTTTCTTCTTGTAAACTAAAAGTGACCCACTACAACTGATAATAATTAATACAATAAATTGTCATAATATGTAGACATATTATACAAGAAAAAGTGTAAAATATAAATTATTAGAAATAGGCAACTAAATGATGTAAGAGGAGTTTTTCAATGACTGTAAAGAAAAAGTACAAAAAAGCTGAGACATAGGTGTTTTTTTTAATGTAACACAAGGTTTTATTTCCTCAAAAATTTTGTGTATAATTAATTTTTAAAATAACGTGAGTTTAATTTTAATTTTTTAAAGTCATAATATTTATGTACCAAGGGCATTATTGAATGTTTATGGCCTTCGAAGGCGACAGGTTTGCAAGATCGAGAGCCTCCGGCCCGATCTTTTGTAAGTCGGCAAGGGCTATAGACATAAAATAATGTCATCATGGTATGGACATACACATACACTGGCGGACACGGAATTTTGGACGTTTTGTCGTTTGACTGACATAAAAATGTAAAATGGGCCTTAGGCAACTAACCTCACTTTCGGTTTTTGTAATTTTTATCCTGATAGCTAGAGAAAAAATGACAACAATTGAAAATAATTTATTGAACTTATATAAAAACACGTATTGCTAGCATAATTGTTTCGGAAAATTGAGCTAAAAATAAATTTCAACTAAAACTTTCAAAGCGTGGCTTGACATTTTTTGAACTGACATAAGTTTCACCTGAAGTTAAAAAAAAATAATTTGAAATGTCAAAATAAATATCAAGTGAAGTAAAAAAATACCGGAAGCATTGCAATAAACACTTGTAGATTCAACTTATTCGTATTCGTTAGATTTTATAAGTATTCCTTTTTAAATACCTTCTTATATCCCCAAAAAAGACAGCATAAGCATTGAATGAATAGTGCAGCAATACCTAGGTATTCTTTCGAAATAGAAGAAATATTTGTTTATAGTTAGACCCTAAGTGACAAAATAAGTGTAGGGCTTAGAAAATCCACTAATTATACCCACGAGATAAAAAAAATATGAAAAGAACCATAGTATTTTATAACTTTGAAACAGATTGAGAATAAAATACGCCAACTCACTATAGACTAAATAATAAATACAATTGTTAAAAAAATGATAGGTAACCTACAACACACCTTCTATTTAATCATTAAACATTTTACATACCTATACAAAAAATAAAAAATCCCATAAGTAAAAAAATGTTTTAGTAGGTATATTAAGAAAGTGAAATCATAAATAAATTATAAAAACACTTTTTTAAGTACATGATCAAATATTAATAATAATTCGTAAAATGTAAGTTTTGCCGCCGGATGATCTGTATTAAATTACATCACATTATCTCACAAAAATGAAAATAGAATCAAAATTTAAAACTAAAAGACTGAATCTTGAGTTTGAAATATCACTTCTATATTCAATAGCTAATTTTAATAAGAGTATAATAAAAATCAGCTGATGAAATACTATAGGCATAAACTTAGGTTTAATATGTATTGAGTACTTATAATAGGTATACCTAGTTAGTCGACTTACATTAAAGCGTCGATCAAAGGGGCCAAAAGTTTATATCACCATACCATAAGTCACAAGAAACGAATAAAAATGACAATAAGATAGCACCACGCGATTAAAAATCACAGCGTTTAATCGAAACGAAAGTGTAATCGGAATTATTTAAAGACAATTAAACAATTCTGAAATACTTGATTAGAACTGTTTAGAGTCAATGAGTTGTTAAAGACACGTTCAGTTCCAACCGGTCAAGCAACAACTGTACTGTGTATACAGCACGAGAACAACTGATACTTCAAATCTATCATATGCCTAAAGCTCTACACCTATCTAGGTGTGTACAACTGTCAAAGCTCTCATCGCGTCGACCAATCCCAGGCCAGAGCTTCCGTCTACCTCCAATAACAATGTCGGTAGGCCGAGTCTAAATCATCGATCCAGTATATGAAATTGCTCATTCGCGCGTGATGGGTTTTCACCGCTAAGAGGACGCCACCAGTCTCACTGCTAAACTAGAATCTCGCTTGGGGGAGCTCGCGTCGACTAGGGGAGCGCCATTTCTGAGCGGGTAATCTGATAGCCCGGTTTATTTATAGGTATTTAAGTTGCGTGTTGGACATTTTTGTGGCAGGTAAAAATGTACCGGGATAAAGGTGTTTGTTTACGAATTTGACACTGGCAAGTTGATGTAATTAAAACAGATAGACTTGCCTGAATGCTTCCACTTTTTAACAGGAATGCAGGACGCGACGTAATGTGACAGCGATTTCTAATCTATCAAAGGAGGTCTAATTATGATGAGAATGCTCTATGACTAGTAGAAATAAATGAAACAAGTGATTACATTTTTCAATCTAATTAGAGTGCTTTTTACACATTAACTAGTTAAATTTTGTTACCTAAGAACTTAGGTTACCTTATATGTACAATTGCGGACATGGAATTTTGGACATCAAAGTTATGTCAGTTCAAAAGATGTCAATGTAAGCCACGTTTTATTGTCATTATGATAGTAGTTTGAAACTAAAATTTGAAAGTTTTAGTTGAAATTTATTTTTGGCGTCCATTTTCCGAAACAATAATGCCAGCAATACGTGTGTTTTTATGTAAGTTCAATAAATTATTTTGATTGTTGTCATTTTTTCTCTAGTTGTCAGAATAAAAATTACAAAAACCAAAAGTGAAGTTAGTTGCATAAGGCCCGTTTTACATTTTTATGTCAGTATTCCGTGTCCGCAATTGTGGATAATAAACAGAGTGCTCCATCAAAAACCGTCACACTAAATATCTACAAATTAATGGTTAATGAGCAAATGAGCTTCAAATTGACAAAATCTCTAAATTATTCTTCATATTTAGCTTCAATCACTTTTTTAACCATTTTCACAAATGCGGAGCACCCAGACATCCTTATCTAATTATCTCCCTTCTCATTCATGATGATTTTGTAGGTATTCTTAGCAATTTTTTTGCTACTCCAATATCCATATTTTGATGGTGGTCTTTTCATCACTTTAACTTTTAGGCCACACAACTTGAAGAATTGCTACAACGACACCTTTAGGTATCCTTTAGGTATCCTCATTTTTGTATTTTCTGCAAAGCGTTAATTCTTTTTTTCTTCTTTCTAAAATCGAGGCTTCATCTAAGCCGCTTTTTTGGTGACGTTTAATTTTTTTAAATAAATGTATAAGAAACATAACTGCCAAAGTCCCTTTATTAAAATTACCGTACGAATGAATTTTCCAAAGTTAAAATGCTGTTAAAAAACTAGTTTACAATTTTAAAAGTATCTAAAATAGTCAGAAAAGACTACTTTGAGAACTTTAAATACAATTTTGTCAAAATCTCCAGAAGAACAAAAAGAAACTACCTACCTGTCGTCGCCTATAAGGGTCAAAAAGATCATTTTGGTTAAAATGTTGAACAGTAATTTTCAAAACGTAAACATTCGTGTGTCATTATAAATTGCTGTTAGACAGTGCAAAAACCTCAAGTATAGGTATTTTCACAAAAAGTTTTGAGATTTTTATAAAAAGTCAGTCAGCTACTTTTAAACCTACACATAAGGTGTCTGAAAAAAAAACGTGTGAGTGAGTTCTTAGATCAAAACAGAAAAAAATTCCTATGAGCATATTATACCTATTACCTATGTATGTCTAAAAATGGGGAACTAGAGCTTTCTGTAGATGGCAAATACAGAGTGATAATAAGTCTGACGGAATTGAAAATACAGCCCACAATACATTTGCAAAGTTAACGTGGAAATTTTAGATATCGCATTGTTTGAAAACCCGATTATGAATCCACGATAGCTTTGCTTCCAATAATTTTATTTATCACAACTGACATTAAATTTAGCAAAAAGTCAAAATGTATTCAAACCATGAGAAAACAGATCTGATTCTCATTTATGGCGAATTTGGGAAAAATGCTTTTGCCGTTGAGACTTTGTAAAGACGATGTTTTTTTCTGAATAGAGAAGCTCCAAAAAGGTTTGAATCACTAGAGTGTTTTCCAATGATAGATAGACAAATAACCTTAAAAATTGTGTTTCCTGTCTTGTCAATTTCTTTGTGTCAGTCACACGATAACTATGTTTTATTAATTTTAAAATTCATAATCAAAATCCATGAAGCCTATGCAAATGTATTACTAAACAAACTAAAAAACACATTTTCTCACGTGTTCAACATGCAATTATTTTGTAAACCGGCAAAAAAATTATAAAAGCTACCACAAAAATTAAAAACAAATCTAGACTCTTAATATGACAGAAGAAAAATATAGTTATTTGATTTTTTCAAAATATTTGTTACAGTTGGAGACAAAATTCTTTGGTCGTCACTTTTCTGACACTTTAATGTAATTCAAGCTTTAATGAATGACAATTTCAAATTAATGACAGCTATTATATCTTTCTATCAAAAATATGTACAACTTGTCAACTATGATTGACAGTAGCTAAAAATAAGGTTAACAGTCCTAAAGCATGCTTTACAATTTAATGTCACTCAAGTGACATTGACGACCAAAGTATTTTGTCTCCAACTGTACGTCAAATTAATCAATAAATTGTCAATTTTACAATTTTTAATAATTGGAAAATTCTGAAATTTACTCCTTAAAAATGACATTTTTTTATTTGAGATTGAAAAATCAATCGAGAAGGCAAAAACATATCGCAATATTCGCAATCGTTTATCAAACTATATTTTTTGACCACTGAGCTTCAGAATTTTGTAATTATTAAAAACTGTGACATTGACAATTAATTGATTATTTTGACGTAACAATTATTTTAGAACAATTAAATTAACTTTGTTTCCATTGGTATAGTAACGCAACAATTAACAGATAAATAACACAATTTTAATGGTTCTCTGGTGGCTCAATGTAAATACTTTTAGAGTCAGAAGTAGTTGTAGAAAAAATTGGTTTTCTATAAAGAATTAAAATGTTTTAAAATATGTACCTATATCTAGGTATAAAATTTAAATGCAGAAATTTGCAAAATTTTGTTCTCTATACAACATTAATATGCCTTAAACATTTTCTTCTGTAATAACAGGGTTGTTTTGAAAATAAATTTTGCAATAAACAACCTAGATTTGTGAAGATATATTTATAGGTTATAGGACAATAGGAACAGGATGAAATAAACATTTATATGCAGATAAAAGTGGCGCACATTAGGTAAAGGCCAATCCTACCCGGCGCGCAAATGATGAATAGAGATTAAAGTAACCCTTTATTATCAGGTAAGAAAACAAAACCGGGCACTAGTGATGAATCACCGAAAGCACTGTCAGTCTAAGATTTTCCTTAGAAAAAAATATGCAGATTTTTTTTTTTCTGTAAATTGATTAATTTTCTTCAAAATTTTTTCTTTTACATGTTCCTTTTGTGAAAAACACTGTTTTAACCCTTTATTATCAGGTAAGAAAACAAAACCGCACGCTAGTGATGAATCACCGAAAGCACTGTCAGTCTAAGATTTTGCTTTGAAAAAAATTTGTAAATTTTTGTTTCTGTAAATTGATCAATTTTCTTCAAAATTTTGTTCTTTTACATGTTCCTTTTGTGAAAAACACTATTTTCAAGAAAATTAACACTCGCAGTGAGTTTTTCATACGGATAGGAAGCACTTGTGTTACATATGCTCAGACTCCAGTGTGTCCAGAGTCTTTCGCTGTGCTGTCGCGTTTTAAATAACCCATCTGACCATATAATCTCTAGGACTTTACCTAATGCTCTTGGTGCATAAATAACCAGAAATATGAAAAATAGTAAAGAGAAAAAAGTGAAGTACCTACTTTATTTCACAAATAAATTCTTCAAAATAAGCGTCCTATACGTACAAGAGTGTATCATTTGGAGTATATCGGTTTAATCCTCGTCGGGGAATTAGGCTTCGAGTCTCGGTTTCCCCGCCGAAGAGTGACAATGAATAGGAGAACACGTGAAATTTCTCAACGCGGCTTTGCAGTTAAGTCGTTTGGGAGATACGTTTATGACCCAGATTTAAAATCGAAACAAATTGGGATTAGAGCTCACGGTGATTTGAACAGCACCCCCAAAGCAGTGAATCATAGTCCCGGCCCCGGCGTGTATGTGTGTGCGTCTGCCTCTGCAGATACGGCGACGTCGACGGCGTCCCTGTAATGTGTGCGCTGAGCGTCAACTGGGGAGCGACGCATTCAACTGGACGTAACAGCTGATGTCACTCTTTCCCCTAAATTCAACGCCAGAATTTTCATTAAAATTATTTGTGCTCTTGCAGGGAATGTGATAATTTCATAAAATATGTATTCTGTTTCCTTATCTTTGTTATATTAATGTTTGGTAGGGTTAGAATGCCGCGCTTCCCAAACCAATTTACTCCGCATTTTCACGCACAAAGGTCTTCGGATCCACCTTATCACGAATTATGACACCGACACAGACAGTCAACAAGAAGTATTATTTACCAGCATTTTCCACGATGCACAAGAACCACCAGTGTACGTAAGTGTAAATATACTCTTTAGTATATACAGGGTGTTTCAACTAAGATGTTTATGTTATTTAAATACCAATAAATCTAAAAAAAAATGTCATTGAAACACATATTTTTCTTTTTATATAGAGATAACTTTTTTATACTTATAAAAAAGAATATAAAATATGAGAACATGTATTTAGATTCAAAATAAATAATACTATAATAATATTTATTTATGGTAAGAGTGTGTTAGGTAGCATTTTATCCACGCAAGA